CTCTCTCTCTCTCTCTCTCTCTCTCTCTCTGTGTGTGTGTGTGTGTGTGTGTGAGAGAGAGAGAGAGAGAGAGAGAGAGAGCAGCCCAATGTCTTTTAGTGAACTTACATGGCTCAAAATAGTATATTTCCAGTCCTATTTTAAGACCTTCCCAGTCCTCATTTTCATTCACATAATTAAAAGCAATACAGAGAATCCTCAGCTTACAACCACAGTTAGGAAGACAAAGACCCCTAAAATGTACATCACGATGTAAAAAAGATGTTGAGACTCTAATAAAGAGTGCAGAGAAGAGCAACAAAGATGATCAGGGGACTGGAGGCTAAAACATATAAGGAACGGTTGATGTAATTGGGGATGTCCAGTTTAACGAAGAAAAGGACGAGAGGGGACATGATAGCAATCTTCCAGCATCTCAGGGGCTGCCCCAAAGAAGAGGGAGTCAAGCTATTCTCCAAAGCGCCTGAAGGCAGGACGAGAAGCAACGGATGGAAACTAACCAAGGAGAGAAGCAACCTGGAACTAAGGAGAAACTTCCTGACAGTCAGAATGATTAACCAGTGGAACAACCTGCCTCCAGAAGCGGTGAATGCTCCAACACTGGAAGTTTTTAAGAAGAGACTAGACAGCCATTTGTCTGAAATGGTATAGGGTTTCCTGCCTGGGCAGGGGGTTGGACTAGATCACCTCTAAAGTCCCTTCCAACTATTATTATTATTATTATTATTATTATTATTACATCCCCCACCCAAACTCATGACCTTTAGGACATAATAGGATTAACCCATCACCATTAGAATAGCAGAAAGGCACACTGAAGCTCAGGTCAAAGTTCACGCCACAGGAACAGGAAACAACCTCAAAAGCCCAAGGAGGTATAAAAACCCATCACTCCCAGCTCCCCGTGGTCAGCTGCCCCAGAACCTCATGTCTTGTGATTCTGCTCTTCAATAAACTTCAACCTTTTTTCTAAAGCAGTCTCCATTTTGTTTATTCCCAGCTTGGACTGGACCCTGATGAAGATTTTCTTTCTACAAAACCAACATATCTCCTATTTTACAAACCGGAGTGGTTAACTTCCCCCATGTTCCACCTGTATGGAGTTATGCAGCTCCAGTCTTAAAAATTTGAAATAAAACTTCCCCTTTATGAAAATTGGCGCCCGATTGAGGAGTGTGCGTCGGTCCTCACAGTCAGCGACTTCACAGAGTGGATTAAAAATAACCTTCATCAAAGGCTGGCTGACACTTTAATCATAACATTTGCGATTGTAATCGTTCCAACAACATCTCGGGAAAGCTGCCCTCCGCATACAGATCAATGGGCAGGGTTGGTGCTGCCAGGGACAGCTGGGGTAAACATCCGCCAACTTTTCAAGCGCAAATAAGAAGCACTCCAGCAAAACAGTCACTTGTCTGAGATGGTATAGGGCAGTGATGGCGAACCTTTTAGAGACCGAGTGCCCAAACTGCAACCCAAAACCCACTTATTTATCACAAAGTGCCAGAGCTGCATCAGGATTGTGGTGCCCTCGGGGGGGGGGAGACGTGGCCCACTGGGTGGGCATGGCTGCAGTGGTCATAGCAGACTGGGTGAGTGGGGCCAGAGCCAAGGTGGTGGGGGCCAGTCCCTTGCCATCTCTGGGGCATCCCTGGGGTGCCAATGCTGATTGCTCTCACTTCCTGCCCTATTGCTTCCAAGCGCCACGTGCTCGCTACTCTGGAAAACTCTGCTGGGGCAACAGCGTGCGGGCCCACAGAGAGGGCTCTAAGTGCCGCCTCTGGCACGCGTGCCATAGGTTCGCCACCACTGGTATAGGTTCTCCTGCTTGAAAGGGGGGAGCTGGACTAGAAGACCTTCAAGGTCCCTTCCAGCTCTATTCTATTGACTACTCACTAGACCAAAACTGAGCTTGTCAGCTTCAGGTGAGCCGTGTCCTATCCTATTCCAAAGAATTTGAACAAAGAAGAAACACTGAATTTCTACAGGGAGTCCTTGACTTATGACCACAGTTGTTGGCCACTGGGCCATGGGACAGGCAGGACAGTGTTCACGCATGTGTGTGCGCACTCACCCCCACTTGTGCTAGAGCCCACGGAACCATGTGTGCATGCGTATGGGGCTAGCAGCAGTGGCTAGTGCCTGTGCGCCTATGCAGATGGGGCCACTAGCGCCGTGTGGGTGCGTGCAGCCCCATTCATGGCGTCTCCACGGGCACACAATTTTCCCAGGTGCTCCCTTTCCCTCCAGGCCACCAGAATGAAAAAGTTGGTGACCTCTGCTTTGGAGAATAGCTGGACTCCCTCTTCTTTGGGGTAGCCCCTGAGATACTGGAAGAGTGCTATCATGTCCCCCCTCGTCCTTCTCTTCATTAAACTGGACATGCCCAATTCCAGCAACCATTCCTTATATGCTTTAGCCTCCGGTCCCCTGATCATCTTTGTTGCTCTTCTCTGCGCTCTTTCTAGACTCTCAATATCTTTGTTACATCGTGGTGACCAAAATTGAGTTAGTGATAGCAAGAGAGAAAAGCAAGATCTAAAGACTTCCCACGTGAATTCCTACATTAAAGCATTTGTCTCCCAAAACCCCAACCTAGAGCCCAACTATCCAGTTCGCATCCAGTGAATCCACAAGTACAAAATTCTTACGGAAACCGGAGCTCCTAAAGGATGGTTCCCAGGCCCTTCACTGGATCTTGCAACAGGCTGGAGATAAGGCCGACAGCCCCTAGCACATTCCTTTCCCCTTTTCACATCCAAAGAGATACATCAAAGTTGAGAAAAAGCAAAAGTAGAGGGAATACATCCACAAGCCCCCCCCTCCCCTTCCACTAGAATGGCAGAGCCCCGAAAAGAAATATTGAAGGGGTTTCTGACAGGTCACTAACCGAAGTCAAGGACTACCTGTATTATTTTAATGTTGGCTTGTTTTAATCTTTTCATTACTTTTCACCTGTTTTTATCATTTGTAAGCTGCCCAGAGTCCCCTAGTAGGGGAGATGGGCAATGTAGAAACTGAATGAATGAATGAATGAATGAATGAATGAATCTCATTAGCAGAACACCAAACCAGGGAAGAAATCTTCAACATGGCTTAAACCAGCCATTAACCGCTTCTCGTTCTATCCGCATTCTTCTCACCTGGCATCACTTCGGCCACCAGTGGTCCTTCTGCTGCCAGCTCCCGTACAATCTCATTGTCATCCTCGTTGATATCTAACCACCGGCCACAGTTGAAGGTGTACTTCTCTTTGGTCAGGGTTTTCAAAAAAGTGACCTTAAAGGGTTCAAAAACAAAATTATGCCAGAACAACTACCCAGTGATATATCGGGTGTCAAATGGGAGAAATCAGGCAGTTCACATGAATATAAAGGTTTCTTGCAGGCTTAAGCTCTTTACAAGAATCTGATCTACTAAGGGTCAAAAAAATAGGCAGTAGATAAGAGCTAAGGATGAAACTTTGGCAGCTACCTGCCTCTGCGTTTCAACTTGCTTTTAGATTAAGGGGGAGGAGGTGTTACTTTCAAATGGGTAGATGGAGAAATGAAACTTCTTCAGTTCAGCTGCAGGCAGTGGGAGCCTGAAGCCTTGTCAAGGACACCAGAATGGGTGTGGATTTGAAGCAGACAGTTCCCATAACAAAATGGAAATACTAATAATAGTATTGGAAGGGACTTTGGGGGACTTCTAGTCCAACCTCCTGCTCAGGCAGGAAACCCTGTACTATTTCAGATAAATGGTTGTCAGTCTCTTCTTAAAAACTTCCAGTGTTGGAGCATTCATAACTTCTGGAGGCAGATTGTTCCACTGATTAATTATTCTGTCAGGAAATTTCTCCTTAGTTCTAGGTTGCTTCTCTCCTTGATTAGTCTCCATCCATGGTTTCTCGTATTGCCTTCAGGTGCGATGGAGAATAGCTGGACTCCCTCTTCTTTGGGGCAACTCCTGAGATACTGGAACATTGCTATCCTGTCACTCCACTTCCTTCTCTTCATTAAACTAGACATACCCAATTCCATCAACCGTTCCTTATATGTTTTAGCCTCCAACCCCCTAATCATCTTTGTTGCTCTTCTCTGCACTCTTTCGAGAGTCTCAACATCTTTTTACATTGTGGTGACCAAAACGGGATGCCGTATTTCAAGGGCCACCCTTTTTTTGATATGAATTATGCAAGATGTTGGAGGTTTAGCTGGGAACTATTGTTTAAGTCTATGAATTGGGGTTGGAACTTCAGAGTTAGTTTTTCTTCAACATAACCAAGCTGTGTATTTAATAAACAGTAACTAAATGATTCTGGAGCTTTGTTTGGATTATTTGGATTCTTGAGCTGGATGTTGACAGTCAGTGGAATTCAAGGTGAGCTTAGATGCATATCTAAATTTGAAACACTGCATTGTGCCACACTTGGCTTCCTAACTCTGTAACCTACCTGTGTTATGCAACAGAATTACTCTACCTTAATAATAATAATAATAGTAGTAAAGTTGGAAGGGACCTTGGAGGTCATCTAATCCAACCCCCTGCTCGGGCAGGAAACCCTACACCATTTCAGACAAATGGGTGTCCAATCTCTTCTTAAAAACTTCCAGTGTTGGAGCATTCACAACTTCTGGAGGCAGGTTGTTCCACTGGTTAATTGTTCTGACTGTCAGGAAGTTTCTCCTTAGTTCTAGGTTGCTTCTCTCCTTGATGAGTTTCCACCCGTTGCTTCTTGTCCTGCCTTCAGGTGCTTTGGAAAATAGCTTAATTCCCTCTTCTTTATGGCAGCCCCTGAGATATTGGAATACTTTGTAGAGTTATGTCAGGGTTCCACATTTTCAAGTAATTGCCAAGGTCTGTTAATACAGTACAAGTAACCCTCGAGGTAGGACTGCAGCTGAGTCCAAAGTTTCTTTCGTTAAGCGAGACATTTGTTACGTGAATTTTGCCCTGTTTTACGACCTTTCTCGCCACAGTTGTTAAGTGAATCACTGCAGCTGTTAAGTTAGTAGCACGGTTGTTAAGTGAATCTGGCTTCCCCCGTTGACTTTGCTTGTCAGAAGGTCACAAAAGGGGATTACATGACCCCCTGGGACACCGCAGCCGTCGTAAATATGAGTCCATTGCCAAGCATTTGAATTTTGATTACCTGGCCATGGGGATGCTGCTGGTAGTAAGCGTGAAAAATGGTCATAAGTTACTTTTTTCTGTGCCGTTGTAATTTCAAACAGTCGCTAAATGAACTGTTGTAAGTCAATGACTATCTGTAGTGTATATTCTGGAGTTAATAGAATAGAACAGAACAGAACAGAACGGAATGGAACAAAACGGAACGGAACGGAACAGAACAGAACAGAATAGAGAAAATATAGAATAGAACAGAACAGAACAGAAAAGAATAGAATAGAATAGAATATGGAATATGGAATATGGAATATGGAATAGAATAGAATAGAATAGAATAGAATAGAATAGAATAGAATAGAATAGAATAGAATAGAATAGAATAGAATAGAATAAAGAAAATATAGAATAGAATAGAATAGAATAGAACCGAACAGAGCAGAGCAGAACAGAACAGAACAGAACAGAATAGAATAGAATAGAATAGAATAGAATAGAATAAAGAAAATATAGAATAGAATAGAATAGAACCGAACAGAGCAGAACAGAACAGAACAGAACAGAACAGAACAGAACAGAACAGAATAGAATAGAATAGAATAGAATAGAATAAAGAAAATATAGAATAGAATAGAATAGAACCGAACAGAGCAGAGCAGAACAGAACAGAACAGAATAGAATAGAATAAAGAAAATATAGAATAGAATAGAACTGAACAGAGCAGAACAGAACAGAACAGAACAGAACAGAATAGAATAGAATAGAATAGAATAAAGAAAATATAGAATAGAATAGAACCAAACAGAGCAGAACAGAACTGAACAGAATAGAAAAGAGTAGAATAATGGAATGTAGAATAGAATAGAACAGAACAGAACAGAACAGAACAGAACAGAACAGAACAGAATAGAATAGAATAGAATAGAATAGAATAGAATAGAATAGAATAGAATTGGAAGAGATCTTGTAGGTCTTCTAGTCCAGCCCCCCGCTCAAGCAGGAGAACCTATACCAACTCAGACAAGTGACTGTCCAGTCTCCACCTCCAGGGATGGAGCGCCCACTATTTCCAGTGGCAAGCTGTTCCACTGGTCAATTGTCCTCACTGTTAGGAAGTTTCTAGTGGAACAGCTTGCCACCAGAAATTCCAGGTTGCTTCTCTCTTTGCTCAGTTTCCAACCATTGTTTCTCGTCCTGCCCTCTGGTGCTTTGGAGAATAGTTTGACCCCCTCCTCTTCTTTGTGGCAGCCCCTCAGATACTGGAACACTGCCTTCATGTCTCCCCTATTTCTTCTTTTCTTGAGACTAGCCAAACTCAAGTCCTGCAGCCGTTCTTCGTATGTTTTAGTTTCCAGGCCTTGGATCATCTTAGTTGCTCTTCTTTCAACTTGTTCCAAGATCTCAACATCTTTTTTGTGATTATGGTGGCCAAAATTATAATAAATGTCGCAGGAAATTTAATGGCCAGGTAACTGGCCTAAACAAACTATTATATCAATTAAATAGTAAACATGAATAAAAATGGACCTGGATTGGGAAACGTAGCAAAATATCCCTTCTAAAACAGGTTAACATTCTCTTCTGTTAAGGGAAAACCTGAAGTCTGTGGTATTTAAACTGTTTGCCCTTCAGATATACTTAAGAAGTTTATGTCATCTGTCTAATAAATCGGAACTTCCTTTCAGTTGGCCCAAGCTATAAGCTCACATCTGGATAAATATATAGGATTACATCTGTAAGGTTTTTAATCTCAAGACATTTAACTAGACATGCCCTTAGAGGGATTATTTCTGGGTAAACGTGCTTAAAACCAAGCAGGGAACGGTTCCAGTTCATGAATTGGCAAAACATGGCATCCTTATTAATAATATTCTGGATCAGGAAAGAAAAGAGGAATCCCAAAGTCTTTCAAAAGGCAACTGTCACGGTTCCGACAGATGAAATTCTTCTAAACAACTTCCAGGCATTGTTTACCTTCAAGAATCTTTTATTTGAGTAGCATAATATCGGCACTGTATAATCAAAGTCAAAAACTGAATTGCCCTCCTCTAAGGACATAGTATCAAAGCAGATTCCCTCCTCCAATTAACAGTCATAAATCACATTCCCCAATTAGCTTGAAGCGAGGGCTTCCTCTCCAGTTCTCCAGCCCGCCAAGTCCTTACCAGCTCTGGTTACAATTACCTTGATTCTCACGCTAGGTTTAGGGTTGTTATGTCTAGCTGGACTTTCGTTCACGTCCCCCCCTCCCATCATCATCTAACTCTAAAAGCAAAAGGTAAAAGATGGCTGCATTTCCCTCTGTCGTCAGTGCAAAAACATCCAATGTTAGCCGTGCTGACAGCAACTTTTCTTTCTTTGTTTTTCCTGGAAGACGGTTCGCTGCTCATCCCAGAAGCTTCTTCAGTTCTGATCAAATGGGAGAGGATAGAAGGATCTATATTCCTTGTAGTCACCTGGTCGTTAGTGCTCTTAGCTGGCATATAAATTCTTTCATTCTCCACCATTCCGTCGGAACTGAAGAAGCTTCTGGGATGAGAAGGGAGATGTCTTCAAGGAAAACCAGTTGCCTTTTGAAAAAGCATCCTTGGGACAACCGCGATCTGGATGACGAAGACTCTCCATCGAAACTAAGCAAGGAGAGAAGCAACCTAGAACTAAGGAGAAACTTCCTGACAGTAAAAACAATTAACCAGTGGAACCACCTGCCTCCAGAAGCGGTGAATGCTCCAACACTGGAGATTTTTAAAGAAGAGACTGGACAGGCATTTATCTGAAATGGTACAGGGTTTTCTGCCTGAGCAGGGGGTTGGACTAGATGACCTCCAAGAAGCTGGGGGTTGGACTAGATGACCTCCACCAACATTATTATTATTATTATGGATCATTGCACAGTCAGCCAGATGTTCAGACTGGATTTGGCATTTTGTCTACCTATCGAGTCCTTACCCAGGAGCTGGGATAGGCAGATGTGGATGTTTGATGGTAAACACCTTTTCTTCTAGTAGTTCTGCAGCTGCTGGCCCTGGTTATTATTATTATTATTATTATTATTATTATTATTATTATTATTATTATTATTAAAAGAGGCACCTTACAGTTAAATGCCATCCTTTCCTCGGAGGTGAAAGCAACAGTAAACTAAGATTAATGTGGTTAGGAATTAGACAATGGCTGAAGGGTTGAAACGAGCAGCCTTAGAATTCAAAAGCTGGAAGATGCCCTGCAGGGAAAGTCAGTCAACAAGTGGCACTGCGTGGAAGTGAAATAATACAAAATAAATAAAAGAAAGTATAGGAAGTCCTCAACTTACAACTGAGCCCAAAACTCCTGTTACTAAGCAAGACAATTATCATGGGAGTTTTGCCCTGTTTTACAGCCTTGCTGGCCTCAGTACTTAAGTAAACCACTGCAGGTAAATTAAATTAAATTAAATTAGTCACACGGCTGTTAATAATTCTGAGTTCTCCCCATTGACTTTGGGGGTCACAAAAGGGGATCACGTGGCCCTCGGGGGACACCGCAACCGTCATAAATACGAGTCAGTGGCCAAGTGCCTGAATTTTAATAACATGGCTACGGGGAAGCTGCAACGGTCGTAAGTGTGAAAAACGGTCATAGGTCACCTCTTTTCAGTGCTGTTGTAAATTAGGACAGCCACTAAATGAAGGGTTAAGTTCCTGTAGGACTTCCGTCTGCAACCCCCTTTATCACTTTTGCTGCCCTTGCTGACAGCTGTTCCCATTTGTGCAACTGCTTCTTTAGATACAAGGTGCACAAATGGGCAGGTGGGTCCACCCCAGTGGCTCAGAGTGGATAATCAAGCGTAGAAATGACATATCAGATCTTTCAGAAGACGAAAGGGTCCTTAAGAGTAGAAAAATCTGCTCGTTCTTCCTGAATATTACCCTGGGTCAGTGTTCGCGTTGGCCGTGAGCTCTCAAAAAGCTATTAGTAGTGCATTTGTGCGTGGCTGTTAGTATGGCTTGCTACTCTCAAAACAGCTCAGGTGCTTAGGGTTGACTTCTGAAACAGCCTATTTTTCTTCTTACCTTATGGAGATGCCAGCCCGAAAAGGGACTCCGTTTCTCGTGCCATATCCGAATTTTGAATAAGGTGCCCAGATCTGGAAGCTCGATCTATACAAATAAGCACAAACGTGTTAACAGAATAACAAATTTGGAAGGGACCTTGGAGATCTTTTAGTCCAGTGACGGCGAACCTTTTAGAGACCGAGTGCCCAAACTGCAACCCAAAACCCACTTATGCATCGTCGGGTGCCAGGTGGGTGTGGCCCATTGGCTGGGTGTGGCCCATTGGGTGGGCATGGCTGCGGTGGAAACGGCAGACTGGGTGGGACTAAAAAGTTCAATCAACCAATTCCAACTTTGCAAGATCTTTTTTTTTCCCAGCGAGAAGTTGAAATTGACTGATTGACTGAACCTTTTTTTTTGTCTCGGCGGTGGAGGCGTAAAGCAAAAAGGTTTTATAAAACCCAGCCGAAGGCCTAGGACTGGGGCGACGGCGTGTGTGCCCACAGAGAGGGCTCTGAGTGCCGCCTCTGGCACCGGTGCCGTAGGTTCGCCACCACTGTTCTAGTCCAACCCCCTGCTGAAGCAGGAGACCCTATGCTATTTTAGACAAATGGTTGCCTAATCTCTTCTTTAAAACTTCCAGTCTGGGAGCATTCACAACTTCTGGAGGCAGGTTGTTCCACGGGTTAATTGTTCTCACTGTCAGGAAGTTTCTCCTTAGTTCTAGGTTGCTTCTCTCCTTGATTAGTTTCCATCTGTTGCTTCTTGTCCTGCCTTCAGGCGCTTTGGAGAAGAGCTTGACCCCCAATTCTTCTTTGGGGCAACCCCTGAGATACTGGAAAACTGCTATCATGTCCCTTCTCGTCCTTCTCTTCATTGAACTAGACCAGGGGTAGGCAACCTTGGCTCTTTTATGACTGGTGGACTTCAACTCCCAGAATTCCTGAGCCAGCATGGTTCAGCTTGGAAACCTCTCCCTTTCCCCTCAGCATGGCTGGCTCAGGAATTCTGGGAGTTGAAGTCCACGAGTCTTAAAAGAGCCAAGGTGGCCTACCCCTGAACTAGACACACCCAATTCCAGCAGCCGTTCCTTAAATGTTTTATCCTCCAGTCCCCTGATCATCTTTGTTGCTCTTCTCTGTACTCTTTCTAGAGTCTCAACGTCTTTTTTACATCGTGGTGACTAAAACTGGATGCAGGATTCCAAGTGTGGCCTTACCAAGGCCTTGTAAACTAGTATTAACCCTTCACGTGATCTTGATTCTATCCCTCTGTTAATGCAGCCTAGGATTGTATTAGCTTTTGGGGCAGCTGCCTCATTCATGCTAACACATTTCTATCACAGGCGCAGCAATGCTGGACCAGAAAAAAAAAATGGAACATTTTCCATGAACTAATCAATGCTTCAATCAGTGTACTTTGATGACATTAAATAATAAATCCATTGTTTATTAAAAAGGCAACAGTGGCCAAATCTAACTAAAGGTGGTGCGAGAATGTAGGGAGCGTTCAAGACGCAGCTGCCTTGTGAAATTGTGGGCATTAATTTTAATTTTACTTTTAATAAAGGGGAATTTTGGTAGCTCACAGCTGAAACGAGGGCTCCTTAGTGCTTTCTGAGCTTGGTTGTTTTCTTGCAGACATTTCATTATTCAAACTAAGTAATTTTAAGTGTGTTTTTTTTAAAAATAAAATAAAAGTAGACATCTGCAAGCACCATTAACTGATTTCATCTTGGGTATTGTTGACTGCTCTGGACTGGCATAAAGGATTTCAGAGTTCTTGATTAGGGCGCAGAAAAAAACCTATATGAGAGGCAAATGCCCAGAATTGCATATCTTGGGGTGGATAACCTTTTTTCTCTTTCCAAGGTTTATACAATGACAATACCAAAGTAAAGAGAACTGTTCCTTTTTTATTTTTAACACAAAATACTGTAGGTTAAGTCTTCCGAGAAGCAAATGGGCCAGGCTATCCATAAGAAAGGCTGAGCACCAAAGAATGGAAGCCTTTGAACTCTGGGGCTGGAGAAGACTCCTGCGAGTCCCCTGGACTGCAAGGCGATCCAACCGGTCAGTCCTGGAGGAGATCAACCCCGACTGCTCTTTAGAAGGTCAGATCCTGAAGTTGAAACTCTAGTCCTTTGGCCACCTAATGAGAAGGAAGGACTCACTGGAGAAGAGCCTGATGCTGGGAAAGATGGAGGGCAAGAGAAGAAGGGGACGACAGAGAAGGAGGGGGCTGGATGGAGTCACTGAAGCAGTAGACATGAGCTTCAATGGACTCCAGAAGATGGTAGAGGACAGGAAGGCCTGGAGGAACGTGGTCCATGGGGTCGCGATGGGTCGGACACAACTTTGCAACTAACAACAACAACAATCCATAGGTAGCCTGTGAACATTTTGCATTGCATGCAAAATGATACGCTCTTATCTGAGCATTTGGATTTCAAAGTTGAGGAATTTGGGCAGTGTCCTCGTGCGACACTCTGCGTGTCCCACAAAGACACACTGTGTGAATGTGGGGAACCACAATCGATCTCATCTATCCCAAGGGGCATACAATGTGTTTCAACATTTGGGGCGGAAGACCTCATGTCAATGAGAGAAAAGGATAAATGGGCGAATATCGTATCATATTAATCCCGATTATTATACATACTTTTAAACGTGATATATATATTTTTATGACCTATTCAGCGTTTCTTAACGATGGCAGCTTTAAGATGTGTGAATTTCATCTCCAAGAATTCCCCAGCCAGCAGAGGTGGCTGGGGAATTCTGGGAGTTGAAGTTCACACATCTCAAAGCTGCCCATGTTGAAAAACACTGGCCTATTTTATGCCTGTTTTGACTTGCTCCGGGTTGAATGCTATACATCTAGAGTTTGTAGGTGTTTATTCCGACATGATTAAAGAAAGAAAAATGTGTCATTTTTTTTTTATTCTTTGGGCTGGTGGAGACCCCCCACCCACCCACCCCCTATCTTGATTAAAAATTTATGGAAAATGTTATTTTCCTATAAGTTGTGTACAGTTTTAAATTCCCAGGCCCTTCAAGATAAAATCAAAATCACATTTCATGATGTAGACAGGGAAAGCATGAATGAGTCTATTTTATGCAGGACAAGGAGAAAAGAAATCTTGCAACCGCATATTGTAAGAGATCAAATATAGTTCATGCTGACATTAAGGCTATCAAATGTCTGCTCAACTGTAGCCCAGGTTGTTTAATAATTAAAGCCCTATTTCGCAATGACTTTTGCTGGAAGAAGAATGAAAGAAATGGGGACTTCTGGTCTTGTGCCGTGGTGATCGGTTGTGAGATTGCAGACCTCCGCGCCCCACGGTTAGTTTCGCCCTGCCGGGGGACCCTAAATGGATCTAAGTTGCCCCGGAGAGACGGTGAAGAAAGAAGGGTGCCCCGATGACTCTGGAATGATGGCAGTCATTTCATTCATTTCGGGGAAAGCCTTCTAACCCGATAGGAGAAAGGCTGGCCGTACTACATTGACCAGCCTAAGCTACCTGCAGCTGAAGTCCGAAGGCACTAACCAGCACAACAGTGAACAGCGTGCTTGAAACTGGGTGAGGAATTTCACCCTCTCTCTCCTATTTTATACTTAATTTCATGGAAAAGATCCCCAAGAAGCAAAAAGCCTCCCAAAGTGAGAAGGGGGGGTTGTCACCCTTCCCTCCTTCCTTCCCTCTCCTTCCTTCCTTTCTTCCTTCCTCCCTCCCTCCCTCTCTCTCCCTTCCTTCTCTCCCTCCCTCTCCCTCCCTCCCTCCCTCTCCTTCCTTCCTTCTCTCCCTCCCTCCCTCTCCTTCCTGCCCTTCCTTCCTTCCTTTCTTCCCTTCCTTCCTTCCTTCCCTCTCCTTCCTTCCTTCCTTCCTTCCCTCCCTGCCTCCCTCCTTCCCTCCCTCCCTCCTTCCTCCCTTCCTTCCCTCCCTCCCTGCCTCCCTCCCTCCCTTCTTCCTTCCTTCCTTCCTTCCCTGCCTCCTCCTTCCCTCCCTCCCTCCTTCCTCCTTCCTTCCGCTCCCCCTGCCTCCCCTTCTCCTCCCTCCCTTCTTCCTTCCTTTCCTTCCTTCCTTCCCTGCCTCGCCTCCTTCCCTCCTCCCTCCGTCCTTCCTTCCTTCCCTCCCTCCCTGCCTCCATCCTTGCCCTCCCTCCCTTCTTTTCCTTCCTTCCTTCCTTCTTCCCGTCCCTCCTGCCTCCCTCCTTCCCTCCCTCCGTCTTCCTTCCTTCCTTCCTTCCTTCCCTGCCTCCCTCCTTCCCTCCTCCCTCCTTCCTTCCCTCTTCCCTCCCTCCCTGCCTCCCTCCTTCCCTCCCTCCCTTCTTCCTTCCTTCCTTCCTTCCTTCCCTCCCTCCCTGCCTCCCTCCTTTTCCTCCCTCCCTTCTTCCGTCCTTCCTTCCTTTCCTTCCTCCCTCCCTGCCTCCCTCCTCCTCCCTCCGCTCCTTCCTTCCTTCCTTCCCTCCCTCCCTGCCCTCCATCCTTCCCTCGCCTCCCGTCCTTCCTTCCTTCCTTCCTTCGTCCTTTCCCTCACCTCCCTGCCTCCCTCCTTCCTCCCTCCCTTCTTCCTTCCTTCCTTCCTTCCTTCCCTCCTTGCTCCCTCCTTCCTCCCTCCCATCCTTCCTTCCCTTCCTTCCCTCCCTCCCTGCCTCCACTCCTTCCCTCCCTCCCTCCTTCCTCCCTTCCTTCCCTCCCTCCCTGCCTCCCTCCTTCCCTCCCTCCCTTCTTCCTTCCTTCCTTCCTTCCTTCCCTCCCTGCCTCCCTCCTTCCCTCCCTCCCTCCTCCTCCCTTCCTTTCCCTCCCTCCCTGCCTCCCTCCCTTCCCTCCCTCCCTCCTTCCTTCCCTTCCTTCCCTCCCTCCCTGCCTCCCTCCCTCCCTCCCTCTCCTTCCTTCCTTCCTTCCTTCCTTCACATTTAGCCATAGCACTTAGACTTATATCCCTCTTCGCAGGGCTTTACAGCCTGCTCTAAGTGGTTTACAGAGGCAGCCTATTTGCCCCCAACCATCTGGGTCTTCATTTTACCAACCTCGAAGGACGGAAGGCTGAGTCAACCTGAAGCCCTGTCAGGATCGAACTCCTAGCTGTGGGCAGAGTTGGCCTGCAATATTGCATTCCAACCACTGTGTCACCACGTTGCGAATAACAACATTTCCACTGAGCTTGAAGCACAAATATAACACAAGGAACCCTACCATGAACTTGTCAGTTTGGCCAGCTTCAAAGTTGTCAGAGTTATTATCCAATTTCATTTCATCAGATTTTCCTTTGTCACCGTAAACCTGGAGGAAGATGGGCGCGTCTGTTCCTGCACCTTTAATGTCACTTGTCCAGATCCACAGCGACCAAGGATTTTCTATCCAAAAAATACATTTTTAAAAAAAATTAGATATTTTTAAAAATGACCGGATGGGTGATAAAGGGCAAACAAATTTAAAAAAATAAAAAAAAAACCTAAAGACAAATTGAGCATCCATACATTCACTTGATTGGATTCACAGTCCTATGAATAGCTTTTCATTTAATAACTAAAATCACAAGAATAATTGGAGTGATGTTTTTTTTTTTTCGTTCCCTTGCAATATTGTGACTTGTATAGCACACTGGGAATTTGGATCAAGCATCCTAGCTTGAATTTGTGTTCAGCATGTTATCCTTTTGGGAGGAGGAGGAGGAGGAGGAGGAGGAGGAGGAGGAGGAGGAGGAGGAGGAGGAGGAGGAAGAGGAGGAGGAGAAGGAGAAGGAGAAGGAGGAGAAGAAGGAGGAGGAGGAGGAGAAAGAGAAGGAGAAGAGAAGGAGAAGAGGAGGAGGAGGAGAAGGAGAGGAGGAGGAGGAGGAGGAGGAGAAGAAGAAGGAGAAGAAGAAGAAGAAGAAGAAGAAGAAGAAGAAGAAGAAGAAGAAGAGGAAGAGGAAGAGGAAGAGGAAGAGGAAGAGGAAGAGGAAGAGGAAGAGGAAGAGGAGGAGGAGGAGGAGGAGGAGGAGGGGGAGGAGGACTGTGGGATCCTTGGTGTTCTCTGAGCTGGATTGTCTGAAATGGTATAGGAGTCTCCTATTATTCTATTTTATTATTCTGGTCTCCTATTACAACACCAAGCTGGCAGGAATAGCCAACACTCCAGAAGACAGGCTTAGGATACAGGGGGATCTGGACAGACTTGAATACAGGGCGCTATCTAACAAAATGAAATTCAATGGTGAAAAAAGCAAGGTTCTACATTTAGGCAAGAGAAAACAAATGCACAGGTATAGTATAGGGGGTACCTTGCTCAATAGTAGTAACTGTGAGAGGGAATCCTAGTGGACAATCACCTAAATAGGAGCCAGCCGTGTGCTGCAGCTGCCAAAAAGGCCAACACAGTGCTGGGCTGCATTAACAGAGGGACAGAATCAAGATCACGTGAAGTGTTAATACCACTTTACAAGGCCTTGCTAAGGCCACCCTTGGAATCCTGCATCCAGTTTTGGTCACCACGATGTAAAAAAAGATGTTGAGACTCTAGAAAGAGTGCAGAGAAGAGCAACAAAGATGATCAGGGGACTGGAGGCTAAAGCATATGAGGAACGGTTGCTGGAATTGTGTATATCTAGTTTAATGAAGAGAAGGACGAGGGGGGACAGGATAGCAGTGATCCAGTATCTCAGGGGCTGCCCCAAAGAAGAGGGAGTCAAGCTCTTCTCCAAAGCGCCTGAAGGCAGGACAAGAAGCAACAGATGGAAACTGATCAAGGAGAGAAGCAACCTAGAACTAAGGAGAAACTTCCTGACAATTAGAACAATCAACCTATGGAACAACCTGCCTCCAGAAGCGGTGAATGCTCCAACACTGGAAGTTTTTAAGAAGAGACTGGACAGCCATTTGTCTGAAATGGTATAGGGTTTCCTGTCTGAGCAGGGGCTTGGACTAGATGACCTCCAAGGTCCCTTCCAACTTTAATATTATTATTATTACTATTATTAAGAAAAACCAAATGCACTAATAGGATCATGGGGAGATCAAAGGCTACAGCATCCTCCCCACCTCCCTGGGTTCCAGTTCTGACTCAGGCACAAAAATGTCTTTCTCAGACTTTTCTTTCTGTGAAGTACAACCTGAACAGTTATCTTCTTAACCGTAAGAGACAACGAGGTTGTTTCAACAGACTCGCACAAGTAAAGTGGGAGATTAGAGCTCCTGTAATCTAAAGTCATTCTGCACAGATTAAATCTTTAACAGGATGTTAAAGTAAGTGGATAAATAAATGTTTTGTTTCTCGGAAAGGAAGGGCTGTCAAAAAAAAAAAAAAAAACCATAATAATAATCAGCACGCTAGGAGCAGATTTAGATGGCTTGATCCCAGCAGATCCACGATAAGAGAGACAATTGCAGGAATAAGATACGGTTAACATTTATCTTTCCTTGGGAGGGAAAGAGAGAATGCAATACATTTTTATTTTCTTTTTTGGGTAGTGTATGGTGTTATTCTGCGCTTCTGGCTTTTTTTTTGTTTTTTCAGAGTTACACGAAATCAAAGCCCGGAAGTTACTGGAGTGTGACCTTCTCTATAAAACATGATTTCCCCTTGTGCAGGGTGTTGTGGTCATTTGAAGAAGAGCTGTAAAAGAGAAGCAGCCTTAAAAGGATCCTATCCTTTGTCATCCTTTCCTAAAAAAAAAAAAAATAGCAATGTGAAGTCCAGAGGCGTCGTGCTCCGTCGGAGCCTGAATCTGCGGAGGAAAATGAACTGGAACAGGACCCTGTGGAGGCCAAAGGAGAGGTGTCTGTGGCTTCACAGGGATGTGGGACTGAGGCAGGGCAGGGCCCTTCAGGAGTGGGACAGGATGAACAGGAGAGAAAGAGTTCAGGCGATGAGCAAGGGCCACCCCCTCCTGATCCTATTGCACTGAGAGTGGAGAAAAGGAGGAACAACACAGGCAGGCTCAACTACTCAGGAGGAGAGCGTCCCGCCCCTCTCCACAAAGCACATCTGGAGACTAAGACATAAGGAGACACTGTGGGGAGAGGCATTTGTCGGGAACAAACGCTGATTCCTTGGAGTGTTGTGTGTATTGTTGCTGATCTCTTGTTCTGTGACTTCTGCTTGGAAACCTGGAAACCAACCCTGCCCCCCCCCAAGTCTCTCTGCCCCAAACAGAAACCAAGCCTGTAAAATTGCAGATGTGATAATCTTGTCCGAAAGACTGGAGTCAGGAAACTGGGATTAGGAAGAAAGATCCCTAGAATCAACACACCAAAAATCTAAGAGTCGTCAGCCCCAGCCCCAGGGAAGCAGGATATGACCCTTGGGACATAATAGGATTAACCCACCACCATCAGAATACCAGAAAGGCACACTCAGACTCAGGTCAAAGTTCATGCCACAGGAACAACTCCAAACAAAAGGCTCCAGAGGGTGTAAAAACTCACTCCCTGCATGTGCTCCCTCTTTCTTTTCTTCCAGAGCCATCTTTCTGTCTGGCTCTCCTCTTCAATAAACTGCAACCTTCTTCCTAAAGCAGTTGCCATGTTGTTTATTCCTGGCTTGGACTGAACCATGATGAAGATTTTTCCTTCAACAATTTAACAGACGGGAAAAACCTTTACTTTTACCTTTATCCTTTATCATCCTTTCCTAAAAAACTAGAAAAGTCCAGAGGTTATGTTAAAACCCTGATATAATTCTGTCACAGTTTCATTGTGTACTCACAACAAAGAATAAGAAGAGCAATAAAGATGATCAGGGGACTGGAGGCTAAAACATAAGGAACGGTTGCTAGAATTGGGTATGTCTAGTTTAATGAAGAGAAGGACGAGGGGGGACATGATAGCAGTGCTCCAATATCTCAGGGGCTGCCATAAAGAAGAGGGAGTCAAGCTATTTTCCAAAGCCACCGAAGGCAGGACAAGAAGCAACAGATGGAAACTCATCAAGGAGAGAAGCAACCTAGAACTAAGGAGAAACTTCCCGACAGTGAGAACAATTAACCAGTGGAATAACTGCCTCCAGAAGCTGTGAATGCTCCAACACTGGAAGTTTTTAAGAAGAGACTGGACAGCCATTTGTCCGAAATGGTGTAGGGCAGTGGTTCTCAACCTGTGGGTCGGGACCCCATTTGGGGTCGAATGACCATTTCATGGGGGTCGCCAAACCATGCTGTCCACCATTTTGTTCCCTTTTCCCTAGCTGTCCTACTCCCTCTTATTGGTGGCCACACCCACTTGGGGGTCACCACAACATGGGGAACTGTATTATGGGGTCACAGCATTAGAAAGGTTGAGAACCACTGGTGTAGGGTTTCCTGCCTGAGCAGGGGGTTGGACTAGATGACCTCCAAGGTCCCTTCCAACTTTACTACTAATTATTATTACCTAATAGCGGAGCATTTACTAGTAGTCCTCGGCTTATAAACATTGGTTTAGTGACCACTTGAAGTTGCAATGGCCATGGAAAAATTGACTTAAGACCAGTTTTCGGATTTAGAGCTTTCTAGAATCCCCGTGGTCACGTGATCAAAATTTGGACGCTGAGAAACTGGCATGTACTTAGGACAGTTGCACCGTCCTGGGATTAGGCGATCACCCTTTGCAACCTTCCCAGCCAGCTTCCGACAAGCGAAGTCGATGGGGGAATACGGATTCACTTAATGATCGAATGATTCACTGAACAGCTGCAGTGATTTACTTAACAACAGCAGCAGGAGAGGTCGTAAAAGGGGGCAACCATCTCACTTAACAATGGAGAAATTGGGCTCAGGTGTGGTCATAAGTTGAGGACTACATGTATTTATAAAGAAATGGAAAGCAAGATTTTTTTTTTTCCTCCTCCTCCACCCGGTGCATTTACTTTTCAGTCTTTTCTGACGCAGGGAGACCATCTCGTAGAGTTCCCGTTCCACCAGACCGTCCGCTTCGTTCTCGTCCAGCCACTTCCCACAGGGAAATGTCTGTTCGATGCCAGTAAACGGGCAGTAGACCACCACCTGGCCGAGGGAGACAAAATGAACAATCCCGGTTAATTGATGTTCAGTTTGGGTTTGGCTAGTCTAAAGAAAAGAAGAAACAGGGGTGACACGATAGCCATTTTCCAGTATCTGAGGGGCTGCCACAAAGAAGAGGAGGGGGTCAAACTATTCTCCAAAGCACCAGAGGGAAGGACGAGAAACACTGGTTGAAAACTAACCAAAAAGAGAAGCAGTCTGGAATTAAGGAGAAACTTCCTAACAGGGAGGACAATTAAGCAGTGGAACAGCTTGCCACCAGAAATCTTGGGCACTCCATCACTGGAGGTTTTTAACAAGAGGCTAGACAGTCACTTGTCTGAGATAGTATAGGTTCTTCTGATTAAGGGGGGGCTGGACTAGAAGACCTCCAAGGTCCCTTCCAGCTCTGTTCTATTCTATTCTATTCTATTCTATTCTATTCTATTCTATTCTATTCTATTCTACTCTACTCTATTCTACGCTATACTATTCTATTATCTAATTCTATTCTATTCTATTCTATTCTATTCTATTCTATTCTATTCTATTCTATTCTATTCTATTCTATTCTATTCTATTCTACTTCCTATTGCTTATTCTATTCTAGATTCTTGTGTATAGGTGAGAGCAATAAATCTTCCGAGCTAGAACTTGGTGGTCCTAATTCCTTGCCCCAGACACTGGGGTGTGCAAAAAAAGACTATGCTTATTTTGAATATTGATACTGTAGTAGCTGATCTCTAACGTTTGAACTGGCACAACAGATTTTAACCTTGAAAGATGCAAAGGACAGGGAAATGTCTGTTCGATGCCAGTAAACAGACAGTAGACCACCACCTGGCAGAGAGAGACAAAATGAACAATTCCAGTTAATTCATATTGAGCTTGGGTTTGGCTAGCTGGCTCAGGAATTCTGGGAGTTGAAGTCCACGAGTCATAAAAGAGCCAGGGTTGCCTACCCTTGGACTAGTCTAAAGAAAAGAAGAAACAGGGGTGACATGATAGCCGTCTTCCAGTATTTCAGGGGCTCCCACAAAAAAAGAGGAGGTCAAATGATTCTCCAAAGAATCAGAGGGCAGGAGAAGAATATATATATATATATTTCTGGTGGGAGAAAGAAAGCTTGAACAGCTATTCCAGGGCATCTTAGGACAAGAAGCAACGAAAGAGTACAGAGAAGAGCAACAAAGATGATCAGGGGACTCAAGGCTAAAACATATAAGGAACGTTTGCTGGAATTGGGGATGTCTAGTTTAATGAAGGGAAGGACGAGGGGGGACATGATAGCACTCTTAGAGTATCATAGGGGTTGCCCCAAAAAAAGAGGGAGTCAAGCTATTGTCGAAAGCAACTGAAGGCAGGGTGGAAACTAAGCAAGGAGAGAAGCAACCTGGAACTAAGGAGAAACTTCCTGACAGTGAGAACAATTAACCAGTGGAACTATCTGCCTCCAGAAGCGGTGAATGCTCCAACACTGGAAGTTTTTAAGAAGAGACTGGACAGTCATTTGTCTGAAATGGTATATAGGGTTATCTGCCTGAGCAGGGGGTTGGACTAGATGACCTCCGAGGTCCCTTCCACCATTATTATTATTAATATTATTATTATTATTATTATGTCCTTACCTTCTGGCAATACCAGCCACAGCTGATGCCAGCGTTATCGTGCCCGATGGAGATGCGACTTAAGGGGCTCAAGAGAGCCGCAATCTCGATGTTGAAAAGGTCGGTCCTGCTCCGTTCAAACTTCCCTCCTTCTAGAAAAATCTTCCCGCTGTTTTTCAGCCCTTTGGAGCCGTGCATGACGATATGAATCTTGGAGTTGGTTCCTGCCCCTCTGACATCCCCGGTCATCACTGCCAAGTTGTACACAATACCTGAGTGGGTGGGAGGGGAGTGTGATAAAACAGAATGCGAAAGGCAGGTACCACAATGACCTTACTAGTGATGTGCTTATTAGGGGACTGGAGGCTAAAACCTATAAGGAATGGTTGCTGGAATTGGGTATGTCTAGTTTAACAAAGAGAAGGACAAGGGGGGACATGATAGCAGTCTTCCAGTATCTCAGGGGCTGCCCTAAAGAAGAGGGAGTCAAGCTATTCTCCAAAGCGCCTGAAGGCAGGACAAGAAGCAACGGGTGGAAACTAACCAAGGAGAGAAGCAACCTAGAACTAAGGAGAAACTTCCAGACAGTCAGAACAATTAACCAGTGGAACAACCTGCCTCCAGAAGCTGTGAATGCTCCAACACTGGAAGTTTTTAAGAAGAGACTGACAGCCATTTGTCCGAAATGGTGTACGGTTTCCTGCCTGAGCAGGGGGTTGGACTAGATGACCTCCAAGGTCCCTTCCAACTTTACTACTATTACTATTACTAATGTCTAATGACTGTCTCCATTGTATTCAATGTATGGCTACCTCCCGGGAACGATAGCCTTTTTCTGACCTGTGGACTTCAACTCCCAGAATTCCTGAGCCAGCCACACTGAGGGGAAAGGGAGAGGTTTCCAAGCTGAGCCATGCAGGCAGAGGGAATTCTGGGAATTGAAGTCCACAAGTCATAAAGCGGCCTAGGCCTAGGCCAGGGGTAGGCAACCTTGGCCCCTTCATGACTGGTGGACTTCAACTCCCAGAATTCCTGAGCCAGCCACGCTGAGGGGAAAGGGAGAGGTTTCTAAGCTGAGCCATGGCTGAGCCACTGCCACGTTGTACACAATTCCTGAGTGGGTGGGAGGGGAGTGTGATAAACATAATGTGAAAGGCAGGTACCACAATGACCTTACTAGTGATGTGCTTATTACTAATGTCTAATGACTGTCTCCATCGTATTCAATATATGGCTACCTCAAGGGAATGATAGCCTTTTTCTGAACTGTGGACTTCAACTCCCAGAATTCCTGAGCCAGCCATGCTGAGGGGAAAGGGAGAGGTTTCCAAGCTGAGCCCTGCTGGCTCAGGAATTCTGGGAGTTGAAGTCCACCAGTCATGAGGGGGCCAAAGTTTCCCCATGCTGGCTCAGGAATTCTGGGAGTTGAAGTCCACGAGTAATAAAGTGGCCTAGGCCTAGGCCAGAGGTAGGCAACCTTGGCTCTTTTATGACTCGTAGACTTCAACTCCCAGAATTCCTGAGCCACCACACTGAGGGGAAAGGAAGAGGTTTCTAAGCTGAGCCATGCTGGCTCAGGAATTCTGGGAGTTGAAGTCCACGAGTCATGAAGGGGCCAAAGTTTCCCTCATGCTGGCTCAGGAATTATGGGAGTTGAAGTCCACAAGTCAGAAAGGGCTCGTAGTTCCCCAGCCCTGTCTAGCTATAACCAGTCATGGACGCAGGTGGAGTAATTGAAGTCTTTGTCTTATGCACGCACAGGCACAAACACACACGCAACACGTAACAGCTTCATCAGCTGACAGGCAGCTGTCACTACATAGGATCGTCACCTGGCAGCCCTGCACGCTGCGTTTGATTGATTGATTTCTATTCCACCTTTATTATTTTTACAAATAACTCAAGGCAACAAGCCTATCCAACACAACTTCCTCCTCGTCTTTTACCCACAACAGCAACCTTAAGAGATGGGTTGTGTGAGAGTGAGGGACTGGCCCGAGGTCACCCAGCTGGCTTTCATGGCTAAGGCGCGTCTGTAATTCCTGCTTTCTAGCCTGGTTTCTTAACCACTAGACCAAACAGCCTAGGAATCCTGGTCTAGTAATTCAGAACCGGTGGCAGCACCGCACAAGCCTGAGCGAGAGATGGCTGGAGCTGCAGGGCTGTCGGGGCTCAGCACAAGCGCCAGGATCAGTGCCGCTTTCCATCTGATCGCGCTTCTTCGGGGCTGTCAGGGCTCAGTGGAAGCACCAGGATCAGCGCCAAGCTCCAGCTGGAACCAGAAGAAGCACCAATCAGAAGCACCAAGAAGCACCAATCAGCTGGAATGTTGCAGCCTCTCCAGGGTCTTGTGATTTACATTCAGATGCTTGGCAACTGATTCATATTTATGACGGTCACAATGTCCCAGGGTCATGTGAAGGGACCAAAACCTGCTGCAACCACCCAGCAGACGGGGGGAATAAAAACCAAACACCCCCCCACCCTACCCCCGCTGCCAATCCTCAACAGAAATGCTCACAACAATGAAAACCTCAGACAGGAGGAAGAGCGCGGCCGGGCGGGCAGGCAGGTGTCTTGCTCGGCTGTGGCTTGGGGGGCACTTTTTTCAGGGCCATTGTAACTTCAAACAGTCACTGAGCAAACTGCTGTAAGTCAAGGACTTACTTCACTTTTTTCCTTTTTTTTTTTTTGGTCATCACGTTTTTGACACCTTGCTAGGCGACTGGTGGTCCTTGGATGTTGCCGTATCGTAAAAGTGGTACAATGGGTGAAAAGGTTGAAAAGCCCTGGACTAGTGGACAATCCCTTAAATATGAGCCAGCCGTGTGCTGCAGCTGCCAAAAAAGCAGTTTGTTTGTTTTTCCTTGAAGAAGTTTCCGTTCCCATCCAAGAAGCTTCTTCAGTTCTGGGATGGGAAGAGAAATTTCAGTTTTGGCAGCTGCAGTGTGCTGCAGCTGCCAAAAAAGCTGACGCAGTGCTAGGCTGCATGAACAGAGGGACAGAATCAAGATCACGTGAAGGGTTAATACCACTTTACAAGGCCTTGGTAAGGCCACACTTGGAATGCTGCATCCAGTTTTGGTCACCACGATGTAAAACAGATGTTGAGACTCTAGAAAGAGTCAGAGAAGTAGGAGAACTTCCATAAGCCACAGAACGAAGGCCCGTCTGTTTTCAAGCCAAAATTCTTCTGCATAAAGTGATATTTTTTTCCCTCATCAAATAATTGCTGAGATGAATAATGGAGCTGCTTCAAAAGGGCAGCTCATGCCGATGGAGGCTGGGAATCCGCTGGCAGGATTCTTCCCAGCATGCACGCTGTTTGCCCAGATGCTTCTGAGTTCTGCATTCGTTCCCCCCCCCCCGTTTCCTTCCCCAGGGAGCAGGGGATTCTGGGAAGCCTTATTAGCACATCAGCGTGGCTTGGAGCAGAATTCCCAGCCCAGGGATGCTTTTTTGAAAGGACAACTCCTGGTTTGCATTTTGGATTGGGCACTCACCCATTTCGAGTCTGACTTGCAAAATATCATGGCCTAACTTGGGAAAACACTAAGACAATAAGCCAGCGAAACAAAACAAAACCTCTGAACTGTTTCCTGCAGTTGCTGTTGTTGGTTTTTTTCCCCCTCTCTGTCTATTTGCTCTTCTTTTAATTGGATGGAAGAGAATTGGCTTTTGAAATTCCGTTCAAACCAGAAGGAAATCTCTGTGCAATTATCCTGGGCGGAAAGGATGACAAGTGGCCAAGACTGAAACAGTTGCTGGAACTGGGTTTGGCTAATCCAAAGAAAGAAGAAACAGGGGCGACCTGAAAGCAGTACTCTCATATTTGAGGGGCTGCCACAAAAAGGAGGAGGGGGTCACGTTATTCTCCAAAGCACCAGAGGGCAGGACGAGAAACAATGGTTGGAAACTGACCAAAGAGAGAAGCAATCTGGAATTAAGGAGAAACTTCCTAACAGGGAGGACAATCAACCAGTGGAAGAGAAGTTGCCTTCAGAAATCGTGGTCGCTCCATCACTGGAGGTTTTTAAGAAGAGACTGGACAGTCACTTGTCTGAGATGGTATAGGTTCTCCTGCTTGAGCAGGGGGCTGGACTAGAAGACCTCCAAGGTCCCTTCCAGCTCTATTCTATTCTGTTCTGTTCTGTTCTGTTCTATATTCCAATATCTATTCAATTCCATATTCCAATTTCTATTCTATTCTATTCTGTTCTGTTCCATATTCCAATTTCTATTCTATTCTGTTCTGTTCTGTTCTATTCTGTTCTGTTCCATATTCCATATTCCATATTCCAATTTCTATTCTACTCTACTACACCATACACCACACCACACCACACCACACCACACCACACTACATTACATTATATTATATTACATTATAAATGGTAAATATGAATGTCCTGACTCTTTCTGTGCAATTATATCTCTTCAACCTCCTTGGTTTCCTCTGGTTCACTTAAACCTCAAACGAAGACATCAAGAAGGACCCAGGCTTTTGGGTTTGGGTTTCGGTTTTTTGTTTTGTTTTGTTTTGTTTTGTTTTTTGGTTGGTTGGTTTTTTATCTTTCAGTCTGGGAGGTTTGGGGACTTCTGATCTTCAGCCTCAAGGTGAAGGAAAGATGTGCCATTTAGAAAAACAAGCACCAGCACTTTTTCAAAGGATAAAGGAAGCTCAATAGCCATCACCAGGAGAAATGCAAAAGAAATGATCAAGCCCTGTTGCTGTATTTACCTCTTTACCCAGGTTGAATAAAGATTTAGCAGCTGCATTTCCACAACATGCTAAGCACGCTTTGTGTGTTAATCTCCATTTTCTATTCTATTCTATTCTATTCTATTCTATTCTATTCTATTCTATTCTATTCTATTCTATTCTATTTCATTTTTATTCTATTCTATTCTATTCCGTATTTGCTATTCTATTCTATTCTATTCTATTCTATTCTATTCTATTCTATTCTATTCCGTATTTTCTATTCTATTCTATTCTATTCTATTCTATTCTATTCTATTCTATTCTATTCTATTCTATTCTATTCTATATTCCAGTATCTATTCTGTTCTGTTCTGTTCTGTTCTATTCTATTCTATTCTATTCTATTCTATTCTATTCTATTCTATATTCCAGTATCTATTCTGTTCTGTTCTGTTCTGTTCTGTTCTATTCTATTCTATTCTATATTCTATTCTATTCCATTTTTATTCTATTCTATTCCGTATTTTCTATTCTATTCTATTCTATTCTATTCCGTATTTTCTATTCTATTCTATTCTATTCTATTCCGTATTTTCTATTCTATTCTATTCTATTCTATTCTATTCTATTCTATTCCGTATTTTCTATTCTATTCTATTCTATTCTATTCTATTCTATTCTATTCTATTTCATTTTTATTCTATTCTATTCTATTCCGTATTTGCTATTCTATTCTATTCTATTCTATTCTATTCTATTCTATTCTATTCTATTCTATTCTATTCCGTATTTTCTATTCTATTCTATTCTATTCTATTCTATCCTATTCTATTCTATTCTATTCCGTATTTTCTATTCTATTCTATTCTATTCTATTCTATTCTATTCCATTTTTATTCTATTCTACACTATTCCGTATTTTCTATTCTATTCTATTCTATTCTATTCTATTCTATTCTATTCTATTCTATTCTATTCTATTTCATTTCTATTCTATTCTATTCTATTCTATATTCTATTCTATTCTATTTCATTTTTATTCTATTCTATTCTATTCTATTCTATTCTATTCTATATTCTATTCTATTCTATTTCATTTTTATTCTATTCTATTCCGTATTTTCTATTCTATTCTATTCTATTCTCTTCCCTTCCCTTCTCTTCCTTTCCCTACCCTACCAAACCCTACCCTTCCCTTCCCCTCCCCTCCACTCCACTGTATTCTCCCTCTATGCCCTGGGCCTCTTTCACTCCAGTTCATCCTGCGGCTGTCTTGTCTTCATCACTTTCAACTCAAAAACACATTTACCAGTTGCCTCTGTTCCTCCCACAAGAATGTCGCGCTGGATTTTGCCATCATCTTCGTCCAGTGCAAACCATCGGTAACTTGGGAACTGATACACTGACTTGTTGCCAATGTCTTCAATAATAACCTATGATCAGAGCAGAATGTCTCATCAGCCAGGGGAGAAGCCGTACAACTATCTGCATTAGAACCTATTTTGCAACATACAGTGCAGATTTTTACCCACAGACATTCATTGAGAACATTGTCTTTCTTAACAGAATAACAATGGGAAGGGACCTCAGAGGTCTTCAAGGCCAGGGGTCTGCAAACCTGGCAACTTTAAGACTTGTGGACTTCAACTCCCAGAATTCCTCAGCCAGCATGTCCACAAGTCTTAAAGTTACCAGGTTTTGAAACCTTATTCTAGTCCAACCCCCTGCTCAAGCAGGAGACCCTACACCATTTCAGACCAATGGCTGTCCAGCCTCTTCTTAAAAACTTCCAGTGTTGGAGCATTAACTGCTTCTGGAGGCAGGTGGTTCCACTGGTTAATTGTTCTGACTGTCAGGAAGTTTCTCCTTAGTTCCAGGTTGCTTCCCTCCTTGATGAGTTTCCATCCGTTGCTTCTTGTCCTGCCTTCGGGCACTTTGGAGAAGAGGTGGACCCATTAACCCCTTTGTGGCAGCACCTTAGAACCTCTTAGTCCTTCATTCAAGGACCCCTTATGTCTGAATGCTACCGTATACTGAATACTGCCTGAATAGAATAGAATAACAGAGTTGGAAGGGACCTTGGAGGTCATCTAGTCCAACCCCCTGCTCAGGCAGGAAACCCTATACCATTTCGGACAAAGGTCTGTCCTGTCTCTTCTTAAAAACTTCCAGTGTTGGAGCATTCACTGCTTCTGGAGGCAGGTTGTTCCACTGGTTAATTATTCTCACTGTCAGGAAGTTTCTCCTTAGTTCTAGGTTGCTTCTCTTTGGTTGTAATCCTCCTCCTCCTCCTCCTCCTCCTCCTCCACTGATTAATTGTTCTAACTGTCAGTAAATTTCTCCCTAGTTCTAGATTGCTTCTCTCCTTGATCAGTTTCCATCCGTTGCTTCTTGTCCTGCCTTCAGGCACTTTGGAGAATAGCTTGACTCCCTCTTCTTTGGGGCAGCCCCTGAGAGATTGGACCATCATGTCACCCCTAGTCCTACTTTTCATTAAACTAGACATACTAACCATTCTTACCAACAAAAGTTCAACGTTGTCTCAAGGGTTGGTGATCCAAATCCAATGATATTAACCTTTCAGAACCTCATGAGCTACTGACCATAAAGGAGAGGTCACTGGCTTGACTGGGGAGCCCTCAGGCAGGTCACAGAGGCTTACAAACAAGGAAGGACCTTCCCCTCTGTCCTTGCATTCGGCTACAGAGAAAACATAAGCCTAATTCGGTCTTTCTGATTTGGTGGCTGAACTAATCGATAAATAACTTATAGCAAACCTTGTCAAGGAACCATCCAGCCGAGCTTCCCTTGTTGTTATGGCCAATGGTGATTTTCCTGAGCCTGCCCAGATTGGGAGCATCGAGGGTGAACTTGTCTTCTGCCCCTCTCTCAAAATTGTCCTTGTCATTGTCCAATCTGCGCTCTCCTAGGCAGCAAACATAATCAAAGACAAACAAATAAGGAAAGAGAGAGAGAGGAGAGGGAAGGAGAGGGAGGGAGGGAGAAAGAGAGGGAGAGAGAAAGGGAGAGGGAGGGAGAGAGAAGGAGAGGGAGGAAGGGAGAAAGAGAGGGAGAGGGAGGGAGGGAGAAAGAGAGGGAGAGAGAAAGGGAGAGAGAGGGAGAGGGAGGAAGGGAGAAAGAGAGGGAGGGAGGGAGAGAGAAAGGGATAGGGAGGGAGAGGGGAGAAAGAAAGGGAGAGGGAGGGAGGGAGAAAGAGAGGGAGAGAGAAAGGGAGAGGGAGGGAGAGAGAGGGAGAGGGAGGAAGGGAGAAAGAGAGGGAGGGAGGGAGAGAGAAAGGGATAGGGAGGGAGAGGGGAGAAAGAAAGGGAGAGGGAGGGAGGGAGAAAGAGAGGGAGAGAGAAAGGGAGAGGGAGGGAGAGAGAGGGAGAGGGAGGAAGGGAGAAAGAGAGGGAGGGAGGGAGAGAGAAAGGGAGAGGGAGGGAGAGGGGAGAAAGAAAGGGAGAGGGAGGGAGAGAGAGGGAGAGGGAGTGAGGGAGAAAGAGAGGGAGAGAGAAAGGGAGAGGGAGGGAGAGAGAGGGAGAGGAAGGGAGAAAGAGAGGGAGGGAGAGAGAGAGAAAGGGATAGGGAGGGAGAGGGGAGAAAGAAAGGGAGAGGAAGGGAGAAAGAGAAGGAGAGGGAGGGAGAGAGAAAGGGAGAGAGAGGGAGAGGGAGGGAAAGAGAGAAGGAGAGAGAAAGGGAGAGGGAGGGAGAGAGGGGGAAGGAGGAAGGGAGAGGGAGAGGGAGGGAGGGAGGGAGGGAGGGAGAGGAGGAAAGAGAGAGGGAGAGAAAGGGGAGAGAGAAAGGGAGAGGTAAGGCGAGAGAGAGGGAGAGAAAGGGAAAGGGAGGGCGGGAGAAAGAGAGGGAGAGAGAAAGGGAGAGGGAGGGAGAGAGAGGGAGAGGAAGGGAGAAAGAGAGGGAGGGAGAGAGAGAGAAAGGGATAGGGAGGGAGAGGGGAGAAAGAAAGGGAGAGGAAGGGAGAAAGAGAAGGAGAGGGAGGGAGAGAGAAAGGGAGAGAGAGGGAGAGGGAGAGGAAGGAGAAGAAGAGAGAGAGAGAAGAGAAAGGGAGAGAGGGAGAGGAGAGAGAGGGAGAGGAAGGGAGAAAGAGAGGGAGGGAGAGAGAGAGAAAGGGATAGGGAGGGAGAGGGGAGAAAGAAAGGGAGAGGGAGGGAGAGGGAGGGAGAGAGAGGGAGAGAGAGAGAAAGGGAGAGGAAGGGAGAAAGAGAGGGAGAGGGAGGGAGAGAGAAAGGGAGAGAGAGGGAGAGGGAGGGAAAGAGAGAAGGAGAGAGAAAGGGAGAGGGAGGGAGAGAGGGGGAGGGAGGAAGGGAGAGGGAGAGGGAGGGAGGGAGGGAGGGAGGGAGAGGAGGAAAGAGAGAGGGAGAGAAAGGGGAGAGAGAAAGGGAGAGGTAAGGCGAGAGAGAGGGAGAGAAAGGGAAAGGGAGGAAGGGAGAAAGAGAGGGAGAGGGAGTGGGAGAGAGAGGGAGAAGGAGAGAGGGAGAGACAAAGATGGCATTGGTTTCTACGCTAGCACCTTAACTGCTTCACCTTACTGTCTCAAACAAAGCAACGGCACCAAATAAGGAGTGAATTCTAATTGGGAAAGGGCACAACTTGAAACAGTCCAAAGAGTCAGCTCTGCATTTCAGATTTGGTTCCATTTTCTCAACCTACTTGCTGAAAATTTTGCTTCAGATGTGAATACCTGCAGCACGAGGGAAAGCAGCAAAGGGATTGGAAATTGTGGAAATGGTGCTGCAAATTCCCTTGCTTTTGCTCTTTTCTTTCTCCAAACAGTTTAAAGCATGTCCACTCCAATTGTAGTATCAGAGACTTCTGTTCCATGCAAGAATCTAAATTAAGGCATCCCCAAACAATTGTCTAATCTCTGTTCAAATGTAGAAGGTGATCAGGCTGAGCCCGAGGGAGGGAGGGAGGGAGGGAGTCAAACGCGTTATAAATCTCGAATCCCTGGGTGCCGGCAAGAGATCTAAGTCTAGCCCACCTTGAATACCTCTCTTATCATTTCCCTTAATGGTCAATTGGTCAGATTTTCATAGAGAATTTATGCTTGCCATGAATCTTCCTACTCACTTGAATTGTCTGGATCTTCTGATTTCTCTGGCACTTGGCATCAAACATACCCCTTGAATAAGAAGCCCTCAACTCCCTAGATAACTAATTCCGCAGTTGAACTGCTGTTAGGTTTGGGTTTTGTTCTTAAAAATCAACATCCGGGTCCAGGAATGGAGGATCTTTAAAACAGCTCAAGAAAGAAGACAACTTTGTCAGAATGACGTCATAGGTCTTCATTCTGGGAACTGTGCTTTGCTAGAGATTCCGAAGGGAAATATTTATATTATTAATCATATTTAATAATCGCCCATCTCCCTTATTAGGAGACCAGCATACATTAGTCTGTGTAAATGTGCGTTAGGAAAGGGTACCTGTGTCTCCATTCTGCCCAAAGATGTTAATGAAAACATCAGCATCTGTTCCACTGCCATTGACATCACCTGTAAAGACTCGGACCACGTATTTGTTTACTGCAGGGAGGAGGGAAACACATCGTACAATTAATTAACACAGAGGCATAGATGTCCGAGGAACGATCAAGCAAGCTGGAAGTACCGCAAACGTGCGTTTGCATTTGAACTTAACCTGTAAGCTCTGGACCCAGCAATCTCGTGGAAAAATAACCACTCTTTTTTGTGAGTTGCAACATTCTTAGGGCTCAGTTAGATGGCTGCACTGATGCTCCAGTGTGCGAGCCAGCAAAAAGAGTACAATGCCCTCTTACTGGTATTATTATGATGATTATTTATTACTCTGTTGCTTTGCATGTATACTGAGAGTTTCTGCAATAGAGACTAATTCCTTGTGTGCCTAATCACATGTGGCCAAATAAAGTATTCTATTCTATTCTATTCTATTCTATTCTATTCTATTCTATTCTATTCTATTCTATTCTATTCTATTCTATTCTATGCTATGCTATGCTATGCTATGCTATGCTATGCTATGCTATGCTATTCCATTCCATTCTATATTCTATTCTATTCTATTCTATTCTATTCTATTCTATTCTATTCTATTCTATTCTATCTCTGTTATTCTGTTCCATTCCATTCTATTCTATTCTATTCCATTCCATTCCATTATCTAATTCTATTCTATTCTATTCTATTCTATTCTATTCTATTCTATTCTATTCTATTCTATCTCTGTTATTCTGTTCCATTCCATTCTATTATATTCTATTCCATTCCATTCCATTATCTAATTCTATTCTATTCTATTCTATTCTATTCTATTCTATTCTGTTCTGTTCTGTTCTAATAGAAGGGAGTTGGAAGTGACCTCAGAGGTCATCTAGTCCAACCCCCTGCTCATGTAGGAAACCCTATACCATTTCAGACAAACAGCTGTCAAATCTCTTCTTAAAAACCTTCAGTGTTGGAGCATCCATAACTTCTGGAGGCAAGTAGTTCCACTAGTTAATTGTTGTTCAGTAAATTACCCGGTTTTTAATCTCACTTCCCCGATTGATTTAGCTCGCCAAAAGGTCACAAAAGGGGATCACATGACCTTGGGACAACAGCAACTGTCATAAACATGAATCAGTTGCCAAGCGCCTGGATTTTGATCCCTTGATCATGGGGGATGCGACCAAGTTCGTCAATGTGAAAAAACGGTCATAAGTCGCTTTTTTTTTCAGTGCCGTTGTAACTCTGAGCGTTCACTAAGTGAAGTGTTGTAAGCCGAGGACTACCCGTAGTGCAAGATCAGAAGACGGGGAGCAATGTGGAAGTAGAGATGGTTAAACTGATCCTTTTATCCCAAGATGAGAAGACATTTAAGTTAGCTTCTCTCTCGAAGTTGCTTCAATGGGAAAGAAAACGACAACTGGCAATGAGAAAGAAAACGACAACTTGATTTTGTTTTTTGTGAATCAGACAGGCCTACTGTTATAGAAATGGTTTGCGCACATTGCGATGTGCAAAAGCAAAAAGTTGTAACTCGTGTTGTTATCTTCTACTGGGTTCAAGAGAGTCGGAGGTTGGCGCCTGTTTCTTTTCTTCTTTTCTCTTCTTACACAATCTTCTTTTTCTTCCGCCTTCCCTCTTTTCTGATTCTCTATCACTTTTTTAAAAAAATTCTGTTTGTGTATTATATTTTGATAAATCAATAAAATTAATTTTTTTAAGAAAAAAAAAGGAGAAAAAGATGCGGAGAGACCTGGTCCATTGACTCTCCAAGGTCCGACATAACTAAATAGATAAGATTAGGTGAAAGGTTAATACCACTTTACAAGGCCGTGGTAAGGCCACACTTGGAATCCTGCATCCAGTTTTGGCCACCAGGATGTAAAAAAGATGCTGAGACTCTAGAAAGAGTGCAGAGAAGAGCAACAAAGATGATCAGGGGACTGGAGGTTAAAACATAAAAGGAAAGGCTGCTGGAATTGGGGATGTCCAGTTCAAGGAAGAGAAGGACGAGGGGGGACAGGATAGCAGTCTTCCAGTATCTGAGGGGCTGCCCCAAAGAAGAGGGAGTCAAGCTATTCTCCAAAGCCCCTGAAGGCAGGACAAGAAGCAACGGATGGAAACTCATCAAGGAGAGAAGCAATCTGGAATTAAGGAGAAACTTCCTGACAGTGAGAACAATTAACCAGTGGAACAACCTGCCTCCAGAAGCAGTGAATGCTCCAACACTGAAAGTTTTTAAGAAGAGACTGGACAGCCATTTGTCTGAAATGATGTAGGGTTTCCTGCCTGAGCAGGGGGTTGGATTAGATGATCTCCAAGGTCCCTTCCAACTCTATTATTATTTTTATTACTACTATTGCTGCTGCTGCTGCTGCTGCTGCTACTACTACTACTACTACTACTATAAGGCCTAACTTGTTCAGATCGAAGAGAAAAGACCAATAAGGACAGCACAGAGCGTTCTAGCTATTTCTGCAGACATTCTCATTACAAAAATCAGCTGAAAATATAGGCAGAGAGTCTTGGAAGTTAATTGAAAGCATTGAATTTGATTTGTAGTAAACCTTTAAAATAATGCTTGTAAAGTAGTTGTCTTTCTCCCTCTGCTGGTCAGATAAAAAAGGAGTGGCGTCTTAACGTTAGATTTCATTGTAAAACTGAACATCTGGCACAGTCGTGAGAACCAAAAAACCCACAGCAATTCAAACCTTGAAGGTGAGGAACGGATAAAAAGAAAGGTGAAATTAAAGTTTGAATACACTGAGGTATACCGAAAAGAGAAGAGGAGAGGAGAGGAGAGAATATAGAATAGAATAGAATAGAATAGAATAGAATAGAATAGAATAGAATAGAATAGAATAGAATAGAATAGAATAGAGCTGGAAGGGACCTTGGAGGTCTTCTAGTCCAGCCCCCTGATCAAGCAGGAGAGACACTGCAAGCTGCAACTCTTTTGAAAAAGCACACAGTGCAAACACTCCGGTTGCCATCTCGCCATTAGGATCATAATTTGCAGCTAAAATATATTATCTACTTTACTTGTCTTTATTAAATAAGCTCCCTTTTTAAAAAAAATTCTGTCTTTTTTTTTCTGTTAAATGGCTTTAATTTCATGGGCTGCATTATTGGGGGCCACCATTCTGTGCTTATCTCTGTGGAGACGCTCAGTCCTCTCCCTCTTGGTTGTCCCAAAGGTGCTTTTTTTCAAGAGTCAACTGGACTCTCTTGTTTTTCTTTGAAGACGTTTCGCTTCTCACCCAAGGAGCTTCTTCAGTTCTGACTGAATGGTGAAGAAAGGATTTATACTCCTTGCAGTCATTTCGGCTGTTGGTCAACACACAGAAATCTGGTCAACACGCAGAGCACTAACGACTAGAGGACTGCAAGGAATATAAATCCTTCCATTCCTCACCATTTAGTCAGAACCGAAGAAGCTTCTTGGATGAGCAGCGAAACGTCCTCAAGGAAAAACAAAGGAAGTCCAGTTGCCTCTTGAAAAAAGCGCCTTTGGGACACCTTGAGCCTATAACAGAATACAGAATGCAGGATAACAGAGCTGGAAGGGACCTTGGAGGTCATCTAGTCCAATGGTTCTCAACCTTTTTAATGCCGCGACCCCAACCGGTCGTAAGTTGAGGACTACCCAACCAGTTGTAAGTCAACGACTTTCCCTGCCCGGGACCGCCGCACATGTGTGGTGCCACTGCCTGCGCTGGCCGAGGCGTAGCTGGCAAGCGGCAGAGACGGCGCAGGCTGACCACCGGCTGGGCCACCAGCTGGCCCAGCCCAAGGGAGGTGAGGCACCCGCTAGGCCCCACACACACCAGCAACCCTCCCTGCGCCCTCCGGCCTCCCACCTCCCACCCCTGACCCTCTTTTACTTACATTTTTAGTAGTTGCTCAGCAGGGAGGGGTGGAAGCTTCCAGACAGCTCCCCTTCGCTGCAGACAACTTGCAGCACCGTTTGCAGAATGGGACTTTTGGCGGGCTCAGCAGGGCAGAGACCGCCTGGACAATTCCTATTGGCTTTGGAAAGCCAATAGAATGAGACTCTATTCAAGAGAGTCTATTCTATTGGCTTTCAAAAACCAATAGGATAAAAGGGAGGAGCACAGCTAAGGAAAAGGGGAAAAAATGGCGGACTGCATTGTTTGGCGACCCCCGTGAAATGGTCGTTCGACCCCAAATGGGGTCCCGACCCACAGGTGGAGAACCACTGATCTAGTCCAACCCCCTGCTCAGGCAGGAAACCCTACACCAGTGATGGCGAACCTTTTAGAGACCGAATGCCCAAACTGCAACCCAAAACCCACATGTATCGCCGGGTGCCAGGTGGGTGTGGCCCACTGGGTGGGCGTGGCTGTGGTGAGTCCTGTCATTCATCTGAGCCTCCCTCTGCCCCTGATGGCCCTTCAAATGCCTCCTCCGCCTCCTCCTTAGATTCCTTGGACTCAGCTGTTGGGAGCACAGGCTGGCACGGAATCACAACAACGGCCAGCTGACAGCTGAGGTGGCGATGCAGTGGGTCCTGTCCAGGAAAAGGAGAGCATGCGAGGCCAGGAAGGATGGTGGGGGAGGGAAACCAGCCATGTTGGGATGCATCCAACCACGTGGACGGCAAGTTAGTGGGTGGCTGGTTGAAGAGGGACGGTTGCCATCTCCGGAGCATGGCGCGTGTGCCCACAGAGAGGGCTCTGAGTGCCGCCTCTGGCACGTGTGCCATAGGTTCGCCACTACTGCCCTATACTATTTCGGACAGATGGTTATCCAGTCTTTTCTTAAAAACCTCCAGTGTTGGAGCATTCACCACTTCTGGAGGCAGGTTGTTCCACTGGTTAATTGTTCTAACTCTCAGGAAGTTTATCCTTAGTTCCAGGTTGCTTCTCTCCTTGATGAGTTTCCCTCCGTTGCTTCTTCTCCTGCCCTCAGGCGCAGTTTTGCTTTCCTCTGTTCAAGATTGGGATCGAAAGAGTTTCTCTTGATGTTAGTGATGCAGGACAATAAAACACAACGGTTGTTCTTCGCCCAGCACACAGCCTTTAATTAAGTTAATCACTGCTCAAATGTCTCCCAGGCCCGGTGGCCAAATTGTCTGTCACTTGACCTGGTTTGAGAATTGTTGTTGTTGTTTTTTTTTAAAAAAATCATTTGCTGCGGTAGGAAGTTAAGGCAACTTCGAGGTAAGAATTTATTACAGGAAAGAAAACACCGCAGGGTGGAACAATAGCCCTGCCTTTGTCATTCATACCCCTGATGAAAAGGCAGTATCAACCGCCTTCAGCAGCACTTAGGTAAATAAGAATCCGTGGCGGATTAAATGTGAGAATAATTGCTAGCATATGGCAAGCTGCGACACTGGCAGCGGAGCAGAAGTTTTTTTTTTTCTGGCTTCGTCCCATGACCTGCAGCATCTTCCTTGTAAGAAACCACACTGCTTGTGAAACGATGGTGTGAAGTCAGGCCAAGCAGCACGGAAAAACGTGCTCCAGTTTTGGCAGGACCCGTTCGCAGGAAATCAGCTTGCTTAACAGAGTCATCTCTGAGCTTTACATTCGTGCCTTTGAAACCTTTCTCGTCCTTTCGTTCCTTGCCCAGAAAATGAACTTTTAGCCAGCAGAGATGATCAGCGGCTGACCTGCACAGGGCAGAATCGGTTTTCAAAAACTGAAGAAGGAGCAGGTGTGACACGATAGCAGAGTTCCACTATCTCAGGGGCTGCCCCAAAGAAGAGGCAGTCAAGCTCTTCTCCAAAGCGCCTGAAGGCAGGACAAGAAGCAACGGGTGGAAATTGAAAGGAGAGAAGCAACCTAGAACTAAGGAGGAATTTCCTGACAGTTAGAACAATTAACCAGTGGAACAATCTGCCTCCAGAAGCTGTGAATGCTCCATCACTGGAGGTTTTTAAGAAGAGACTGGACAGCCATTTGGCTGAAATGGTATAGGGTTTCCTGCCTGAACAGGGGGTTGGACTAGATTATCTCCAAGGTCCCTTTCAACTCTATTTTTTATTGTTGTTGTTCTTGTTGTTGTTGTTATTATTATTATCAACAACCTAGAACTAAGGAGAAATTTCCTGACATAGAACAATTAACCAGTGGAACAATTTGCCTCCAGAGGTTGTGGTTGTTACAACACAGGAGGTTTTTAAGAAGAGATTGGATAACCAAAGAGAGAAGCAACCTGGAACTACGGAGAAACTTCCTGACAGTGAGAACAATTAACCAGTGGAACAACCTGCCTCCAGAAGTGGTGAATGCTCCAACATTGGAGGTTTTTAACACGAGATTGGACAGCCATTTGTCTGAAATGGTATAGGGCAGTGGTGGTGAACCTATGGCACGGGTGCCAGAGGTGGCACTCAGAGCCCTCTCTGTGGGCACGTGCGCCATCGCCCCAGTCCTAGGCCTTCAGCTGAGTTTTATAAAACCTTTTCGCTTTAGGCCTCCACCGCCGTGTGTAAAAAAAAAAAAAAAGGTTCAATCAGTCAATTTCAACTTCTCACGGGAAAAAAAAGGTCTTGCAAAGGGGGAATTGATTGATTGAACTTTTTAGTCCCACCCAGTCTGCCATTACCACCCCAGCCACGCCTACCCAATGGGCCACACACCTCAATTGGCAACACCTATCCAGCACCCTACAATGCATATGTGGGTTTTGGGTTGCAGTTTGGGCACTCGGTGTCTAAAAGGTTCGCCATCACCGGTATAGGGTTTCCTGCCTGAGCAGGGGGTTGGACTAGAAGACCTTCAAGGTCCCTTCCAACTTTTATTATTATTAAATTATTATTATTATTATTATTAAATTATTATTATTATCATCATCATCATCATCACTGTTGTATGCAATGACGCACCTTTGGGAACATCCATAGGGTTCAGGCTGCCAATCAAATCTCTCACGTAAAGGCCGTCCCCTTCGTCTTTACTCAGCCAATTGTTGCACGGGAAATAAAACCGGAGGTGGGGCCTGTTCATGTCCGTCACAATCACACGGTCAAGGTACCAGCTGGCGTTCATTCCTGTGTTGTCGTGCTCAATTCTGCAACCAAAAAAACAGAGAAGAGAAAGAGGGTGCAAGATGGCAAGTCGACATTATGCAATGTATGTGTCAGAATGGCAGCTCCCACAATCCCCTTTTTTTCTCTGGCCAGGGAATTCTGGGAACTCTAACCCCAGGACAACTTATTGGGGGACAAGAAGTGGTGGTACATTTTCCTTTTGTCGTAGTGTTTTTGGCCACAGCGCCATAGATGTCACACCTACAAAGTCGAGACTCTGAAGTAGCAATTTACCTCTTGAATTTAACAGGATAAAGACTTTCTCTCTGCAAAGACAATCAGCTTTTTTCGTATTTTTAGGTTTCTGAAGTGTGGGAAGTTAGCCCCCCTCCGAGAAAAATATTTTTGGAAATATTTAAAAGGCAGAATAATTTCCCTAAATGATTTTAAAAGCAGAAACCAACCCCGCTCCCAAGTCTCTCTTTCCCAAACAGAAACCAAATTTGCAGAATGCAGATGTGATAATCTTGTCAGACTGGAGTCAGGAAACTGGGATTAGGAAGAAAGATCCCTAGAATCAACAATCCCTCTCACCAAAAATCTAAGAGTCAGTAGCCACAGTCCCAGGGAAGCAGAATATGACCTTTGGGACATAATAGGATTAACCCACCACCATCAGGATACCAGAAAGACACACCCAGGCTCAGGTCAAAGTTCATGCCACAGGAACAACTTCAAACAAAAGGCTCCAGAGGGTATAAAAACCCACTCCCTACATGTGCTCGCTCTCTCTTTTCTTCCTGAGCCAACTTTCTGTCTGGCTCTCCTCTTCAATAAACTGCAATCTACTTTCTAAAGCAGTCGCCATGTGGTTTATTCCTGGCTTGGACTGAACCCTGATGAAGACTTTTCCTTCAACAGAAGCGACAAGTCTTTGAACATCTATGTATTGTCAAACAGGGATGGGGATGCTGTGAGCAATCCGGAGTTTACATTCATTAGAACTGCCCTGCTTCCTGATTTATTGCACCTTGACAACACGCTTAGAAATGTTCGTGTTGTGTTGCTTTGAAAATTATATTTACCTTTAAAAAAACTAAATAGTGCTGATTGCTTCTGTCTTTATTTTTTTTTAATTGGTTAAATTTATTTGCTGCCCATCTCTCTGTGGGGCTTCTCTGGCTGCGTTATAATAGTAAAATGGAAAAAAATTGTAAACATATCTATAGCAATGCAATGAAATCATAAAACAAAACAAGGAAAGTAGAATACTATATTTTAAAATACAGGTCGGGGGACAGGAAGTGCAAGGTCAGCTAACCTAAATATGAGCCAGCCGTGTGCTGCAGCTGCCAAAAAGGCCAACACAGTGCTAGGCTGCATTAACAGAGGGATAGAATCAAGATCATGTGAAGTATTAATACCACTTTACAAGGCCTTGGTAAGGCCACACTTGGAATACGGCATCCAGTTTTGGTCACCACGATGTAAAAAAGATGTTGAGACTTTAGAAAGAGTACAGAGAAGAGCAACAAAGATGATTAGGGGACTGGAGGCTAAAACATATAAGGAACGATTGCTGGAATTGGGGATGTCTAGTTTAACGAAGAGAAGGACAAGGGGGGACATGATAGCAGTATTCCAATATCTCAGGGGCTGCCCCAAAGAAGAGGGAGTCAAGCTGTTCTCCAAAGCACCTGAAGGCAGGAGAAGAAGCAACGGATGGAAACTAACCAAAGAGAGAAGCAGCCTAGAACTAAGGAGAAACTTCCTGACAGTGAGAACAATTAACCAGTGGAACAGCCTGCCTCCAGAAGCAGTAAATGCTCCAACACTGGAGGTTTTTAAGAAGAGACTGGACAGCCATTTGTCCGAAATGGTGTAGGGTTTCCTGCCTGAGCAGGGGGTTGGACTAGATGACCTCCAAGGTCCCTTCCAACTTTACTACTATTACTAATTAGTCAAGCAGCCACTCTTTTAGGGTTCTTTAGATTGGGATTAATCTCATTGTAAGGTCCCTGGCCCTTGGCAAAACCTGAGAAATCATAAAAACTCATCATGAAAACTCAAGCAGAGGCTTCTTAAAGAAACAGTACTTTTTATTTGAACGAATTAAGTCCTGGGTGGGGACACAATCTGAAACGCTGGCGGCAGGTGCGTTGAGAAGGGCCCCGCCTTAAAACGTTAGTAGCGTTGCTTTATAAAACTTTGTTAGCCAATGAAAATCAGACAACAAGAGTTATTACGATATAAGGAAGGCATCCATCATTCCTGTTACACTCCTTTATTCCTTCCTTCAGTCCATCCCATCCGTGTCCACGTTTTCCCACGCTTGCATGAAATTGGTCCCTGAAACAAACGCTGATTACGGAAGCGAGACAGCAATAGTTAGGCAAGGCTGCACAATTTGTTTCTTTTTCCAGTTCCAGTTGCCGAACCCTACATCATGAAAATACCTTATTTTCCGGATGGTGCCGACGTTATTGGTTTTCACCCGAAAAACATCTGTTTTGCTTCTTTCAAAGGCAGAACTGCTCCTGAAATAGATGGGTCATCACAATGACATCAGCACATTCTACCTATGTTCATATTAGTAAAGTTGGAAGGGACCTTGGAGGTCATCTAGTCCAACCCCCTGCTCGGGCAGGAAACCCTACACCATTTCGGACAAGTGGCTGTCCAGTCTCTTCTTAAAAACTTCCAGTGTTGGAGCATTTACTGCTTCTGGAGGCAGGTGGTTCCACTGGTTAATTGTTCTCACTGTCAGGAAGTTTCTCCTTAGTTCCAGGTTGCTTCTCTGCTTGATTAGTTTCCATCCTTTGCTTCTTGTCCTGCCTTCAGGGGCTTTGAAGAACAGCTTGACTCCCTCTTCTTTATGGCAGCCCCTGTAAGTTAATTGTGGGAAACTCTCGACCAGGGATGGGGAACCATGGCCCCTTGATGACTTGGTCCTAGTGGACAATCCCTTAAATATGAGCCAGCCGTGTGCTGCAGCTGCCAAAAAAGCCAACACAGGGCTAGGCTGCCTTAACAGAGGGATAGAATCAAGATCACGTGAAGGGTTAATACCACTTTACAAGGCCTTGGTAAGGCCACACTTGGAATCCTGCATCTAGTTTTGGTCACCACGATGTAAAAAAAGATGTTGAGATTCTGGAAAGAGTGCAGAGAAGAGCAACAAAGATGATTAGAGGACTGGAGGCTAAAACATATAAGGAACGGTTGCTGGAATTCGGTATGTCTAGTTTAATGAAGAGAAGGACAAGAGGGGACAGGATAGCAGTGTTCCAATATCTCAGGGGTTGCCACAAAGAAGAGGGAGTCAAGTTATTCTCAATCAATTTTCTCCAAAAAATAAAAATAAAAGTGGGAAGGGACCTTGGAGGAGGAATGATGATGATGTGGGAAGGGACCTTGGAGGTCATCTAATCCAACCCCCTGCTCAGGCAGGAAGCCCTAGGCCTAGACCATTTCAGACAAATGACTGTCCAGTCTCTTCTTAAAAACTTACAGTGTTGGAACATTCACAGCTTCTGGAGGCAGGTTGTTCCACTGATTAATTGTTCTGAATGTCAGGAAATTTCTCCTTAGTTCTAGGTTGCTTCTCTCTTTGGTTAGTTTCCACCCATTGCTTCTTGTCCTGCCTTCAGGTGCTTTGGAAAATAGCTTGACTCCCTTTTCTTTGGGGCAGCCCCGGAGATATTGGAACACTGTTATCATGTCCCCCCTCGTCCTTCTCTTCGTTAAACTAGACATACCCAATTCCAGCAGGCTTTCCTTATATGTTTTAGCCTCCAGCCCCCTGATCATCTTTGTTGCTCTTCTCTGTACTCTTTCTAGAATCTCAACATCTTTTTTACATCGTGGTGACCAAAACTGGATGCAGTATTCCAAGTGTGGCCTTACCAAGGCATTGAAGAGTGGTATTAACCCTTCACGTGATGTTGAGTCTATCCCTCTGTTAATGCAGCCTAGCACTATGTTGGCCTTTTTGGCAGCTGCAGCACAGGGCTGGCTCCTATTTAAGGGATCGTCCACTAGGACTCCAAGGTCCCTCTCACAGATACTACTATTGAGCAAGTTACCCCTATACTATACCTGTGCATTTGGATAGATAGATAGATTAGATAAATGATATAAAAGATAGATGAAACCCGGCCTATACCATTTCAGACATCTAGTCCATCCTCCTGCTCAGGCAGGAAACGTTTTATAGTTACTTCCCTCATTAAGAAAGCACTTTGGTTCTCTCTGGATATTTTGCATTTTACTCTAGCTGGCATAATAAACGGTGAGGCTCAGTGGGAAACAGATGTACATCGCACATCTGGAGACAAACAGATTGCCAGCACCAAGGAAAATATAAACATTTACTCATTTGCACAACTTATTTGTCAGTTGAGTTCACCATACGTCACTGTGATAACTACCTTGGCCTTCTCCCCACTACGAATGTGTATATATATACACATGTATATATATGTATACATTCAAGGTAAAAATCTCCTCCCCCTGTCTCTCTCCTGATAGCTAACAGAGTGGGAGAGAGCCTGTGGCTTAGAGGTTATAACAACTGCCTAACATGCAGATAAGCCCAGGTTCGAATCTCAGAAGAGTAAATCTGGCTGAAGAGAGTTAACGGAACTCGAAATAGCTATACCAGTTCTCTCTTTATTCTTTGTTAGCAACCTAAATATATATATATATATGTATGTATGTATGTATGTATGTATGTATGTGTATATGTATATGTATATGTATATATATATGTCTTTGGTTATTCGGGTTTTCTACCGCGTCAAATTGGAAGTGTCTTGGCGACGTTTCGACAAAGTCTCATTCGTCATCTTCAGGCTGGTGTTTTCAGCTTCGTGCTTCTAGGAGCAATGTGTGTTTCTTCCTTTTAACTGCCAGTAGGGGTATGAACTGATTGGATGAGAGCTTGGCTGTGTTCTGATTGGGTGGAGGTGTGTTCTGATTGGTTAGGAGCTTGGCTGTGCTCTGATTGGATGGGGGGTTGGCTGTACTCTGATTGGTTGGGGGAGAACACAGAATCAGTTCATACCCCCACTGGCAGTTAAAAGGAAGAAACAGTTACGATCACACATTATATATAATTAAACACCCATTGGTTTAATTAAACAATTTTAAAAGTCTAGCATGTTGCAAAATGTTAGCCTTTTGTTGTGTCTTTATTGCCCAAATCCCTTCTGGGCCTGGGCCGCTCCATTTTCTCACCAAGTAAAATTCATGGGTAGCTGAAAGCATTAATTCTGACTGGAAACATGTCCACCTGCCCCCAAACAAATGTAAATAGGAAACGAACACTTTGTAAGGCGAACTGTCCCTGTGCATTTAGTGACCATTCAAAGTTACAACACTGAAAAAAAAAATTGAATGATGACCATTTTTCACACTTACGACCCGCTGTAACATCCCCACGGTCACAAGATTAAAATTTGAACACTTGGCAACTGGCATGTACTTATGCCGGTTGCAGTGTCCTGTAGGGTCATGTGATCCCCTGTTACAACCTTCTGACAAGCCAAGTCAATGGGGGAAACCAGGTTCACTTAACTGACGTAACAGCTGGGTCAGAGCGTGCAGAGTCTTATTGCGCTGAGATAACCCAGGAGCAAACACAGTAAACAGTGGTCTATATTAAATGGTGGTTTATCTTACACTATCTACAATATCATGCACCAGCAACAGTATACATCAGTGATGGCAAACCTTTAAGAGACCGAGTGCCCAAACTGCAACCCAAAACCCACTTATGCATCATCGAGTGCCGGGTGGGTATGGCCCATTGGCTGGGTGTTGCTAATTGAGTGAGTGTGGCCCATTGGGTGGGCATGGCTGTGCTGAACAGCAGACTGGGTGGGATTAAAAAGTTCACTCAATTAATTCCAACTTTGCAAGATCTTTTTTTCCTGCGAGAAGTTGAAATTGACTGATTGAAACTTTTTTTTTTTTTTTTGCACATGGTGGCAGAGGCCTAAAGCAAAAAGGTTTTATAAAACCCAGCTGAAAACCTAGGACTGGGGCACGGTGCACGTGCCCACAGAGAGGGCTCTGAGTGCCACCTCTGGCACCCGTGCCATAGGTTCACCACCACTGGTATACATACACGTGCTAATACAGCAGGATCCAACAAATCACAATTACAGCAGGAAACAGAAGAGAGAGAACACAGCAAAGGCTCTTAAAGAGACACAGACCCAGCTGGCTCTTAAAGGGACACAGATCCTGCTGAGTCATTCCCATCATTACATCATACATCTTACACTGTATAAGCTGGTTAGCAGTTAAATTATTACCTTGACAAGCTGCAATGATTCACTTAACAACTGAGGCAATAAAATGGGGCAAAACTCAAGAGCAAGCCACTTTCAAAATCCTGCCAAGAAAACCGCAGGGACTGAGTCAGGCTGTTGCCAGGAGACAGCACTGACTCAGGCATAGATAGATAGATAGATAGATAGATAGATAGATAGATAGATGGATGGATGGATGGATGGATGGATGGATGGATGGATGGATGGATGGATGGATGGAGAGAGAGAGGTGGGAGAGAGAGAGGGAGGGAGGGGGAGGGAGGGGGAGGGAGGGAGAGAGGGGGAAAGAGAGGGAGAAGGAGATAGAGGGAGAGGGAGGGAGTGCGGGAGAGAGAAAAAGGAGAGGAAGAGAGTTAGAGGGAGAGGGAGGGAGAGAGAGAGAGAGAGAGACAGACAGACAGACAGACAGACAGATAGATAGATAAGCCCCAACTTAGCTTTTCTTGTGATCAGACAAGTAGACTAGCCACTGTCAATTATAAGGCACGTTAAAGTTTTCTAAATTATTGTTATATCCTTGGGCAAAAGCTGAAGAAGACCTAAAACAGTTTTTAAAATGGCCTGGCAAATCCAAATAATGGAAATGTTGCAAATGTTTGGTCATCCTCAAATTCCCCGGCAGATGTCACTTGATTTTCTCCCTGGCTTGCATGCATTTCAAATTGTGTTATGCCTGGTGAACTGGGAACAGAACAGAATAATAGACTTAGAAGAACCTTGGAGGTCATCTAGTCCAATCCCTGCTCAGGCAGGAAACCCTATACCACTTTGGACAAATGGCTGTCCAGTCTCTTCTTAAAGACTTCCAGTGTTGGAACATTCACCGCTTCTGAAGGCAGGTTGTTCCACTGGTTAATTGTTCTAACTATCAGGAAGTTTCTCCTTAGTTCTAGGTTGCTTCTCTCCTTGGTTAGTTTCCATCCGTTGCTTCTTGTCCTGCCTTCAGGTGCTTTGGAGAATAGCTTGACTCCTTCTTCTTTGTGGAGCCCCTGAGATACTGGAACACTGCTATCCTGTTCCCCCTCATCCTTCTCTTCGTTAAACTAGACGTCCCCAATTCCAGCAACCGTTCCTTGTATGTTTTAGCCTCCAGTCCCCTGATCCTCTTTGTTGCTCTTCTCTGCACTCTTTCTAGAGTCTCAACATCTACACAATTTGTATATTTTGGCAATACTCACTTGCTGGTCAGATGGACTTTTGGTGTGATGCCAAATTCACCGAAGAGGGTAACAAAGACGTTGGCATCCGTCCCTGCTCCTCTGATATCTCCAGTCACCGTCACTACTTCATAGACTGTGAAGGAAAAGGGCAGGAAGGTGATCAAAACAAAAAAAGGTCAGAATTGAGGAGCCACAGAGATTTATAGCTGATCCGAAAATCATGTTGAAGTGCAGAGTCTGAGTAAATACAGGGTCTGAAAGCTCCTTTTTTTCTATTTTAACACACCTGATTGACTCACCTGTGTTCTGCCAAGGATTTGTTCAATGATTCAGACAGTTTGGAATATATGTAAAGAAAGGTTACAAGGAATTGTCTAGAGTAAACTAAAGCTTTTCAAAGAGAATCGGAGAAGCTGGGACTGTTTAATCAAAGGGGAGGGGAGTGGATAAGGGGATAAATGGATGAAGAAGGGAAGGGGAGAGGGAGGAGAGGAGAGGAGAGGAGAGGAGAGGAGGGAAAGGGAGGAGAGGAGAGGAGAAGAGGGAAAGGGAGGAGAGGAGAGAAGAGGAGAAGAGGGAAAGGGAGGAGAGGAGAGAGAAGAGAAGAGGGAAAGGGAGGAGAGGAGAAGAGGGAGGAAAGGAGAGGAGAGGAAAGGAGAGGGAGGAGAGGAGAGGAGGGAAAGGGAGGAGAGGAGAGGAGAGGAGAGGAGAGGAGAGGAGAGGGAGGAGAGGAGAGGGAGGAGAGGAGGGAAAGGGAGGAGAGGAGAGGAGAGGAGAGGGGGAAGAGGAGAGGAGAGGAGGGAAAGGGAGGAGAGGAGAGGGGAGGAGAGGAGAGGAGGGGAGGGGAGGGGAGGAAAGAGAAGGGCAGTTGTTTTGCCCCAAAAGGTGATAATAATCACACCTAACAAATGGTCAGCCGTACAGGTAGTCCTCAATGTCGAACATTTCATTTAGTGACCTTCAAAATTCAGATGCTTGGCAACTGTCTCATATTTACGACGGTCGCAGTGTCCCGGGGGTCACGTGATCCCCTGTTGCAACCTGACAAGCAAATGAGGGAGAGCCAGATTCACTTAAGAACCGTGTTACCAACTTAATAATTGCAGCGATGCATTTAACAACAGTGGCAAGGAAGGTCATAAAATGGACGCTAAAACATATAAGGAACGGCTGCTGGAATTGGGTATGTCTAGTTTAATGAAAAGAAGGACGAGGGGGGACAGGATAGCAGTGTTCGAGTATCTCGGGGGCTGCCCCAAAGAAGAGGGAGTCAAGCTACTCTCCAAAGGGCCTGAAGGCAGGACAAGAATCAACACATGGAAACGGATCAAGGAGAGAAGCAACCTAGAACTAAGGAGAAACTTCCTGACAGTGAGAACAATTAACCAGTGGAACAACCTGCCTCTAGAACAGTGATTCTCAACCTTTCTAATGCCGTGACCCCATAATACAGTTCCCCATGTTGTGGTGACCCCCAAGTGGGTGTGGCCACCAATAAGAGGGAGTAGGACAGCTAGGGAAAAGGGAAAAAATGGCAGACGGCATGGTTTGGCAACCCCCGTGAAATGGTCATTCGACCCCAAATGGGGTCCCGACCCACAGGTTGAGAACCACTGCTCTAGAAGCTGTGAATGCTCCAATACTGGAAGTTTTTAAGAAGAGACTGGACAGCCATTTGTCCGAAATGGTATAGGGTTTCCTGCCTGAGCAGGGGGTTGGACTAGATGACCTCCAAGGTCCTTTCCAACTCTATTATTATTTTTATTATTGTTGTTGTTGTTACTTGTTAACTGAATCCTAGACCCTTCGTCTTAGTAGAAATACTTACTAATAAAGCAAGTGGGGAAAAAGTCTGGAATTATTCTTTTCCCCTCTTTATTCCAACCATTCAGTTGGTTACTTAACAATGCAAAATAATTTGTAGATTGTTTATGTATATCGCTTCTCTTTGTGCATCCGTGCAATCTCTCTGCTTCACCGTCTCCTTCCATGGAAGTAATATTATATGTTCATTTATTTATTCATGGTTAATTGAACCATAAATTATTCAATTAACCTAAATTCCTGGGTTTTACAGACAAGATTAAACCATAAACTAACCACACGGACTAGTTCAACCACATGCTGGGCTAAAAGGTGGGAAAGTTGCTAATTCAGTGTCCGTGTTATGCAAATACACTGAATTAAAGTGCCGAACGGGGATAATAATTCTTACAGCCCTTAAGAACAACATGTTATTAAGTTGAATGGAGTAAGCCCCAGTTTACTACTACTTAGTCTTTATATTAGACTGTAAGGCAAAAGTAAAAAATGTTATTTAACTGAGGTTTGACTTCCGGGGACTACACGGACATACTGTAACCGTGCATTTATCTTGGCAAAAATACGTAAGTGGTTTATCTCTGCCTTCCTGCAGAATGTTTCTTTGCCTAACTTCAAGCCTTAAGTACAGGTAACAACCATGATAGTAGTGTTTCAGTATTTGAGGGGCTGCCACAAGGCAGAGGGGTCCAGGTTATTCTCCAAAGCACCAGAGGGAAGGACGAGGAACAATGGTTGGAAACTGACCAAAGAGAGAAGCAACCTGGAATTAAGGAGAAACTTCCTGACAATGAGGACAATCAACCAGTGGAACAGCTTGCCATCAGAAAAAGTGGGTGCTCTTACCCCTGGAGGTTTTTAAGAAGAGACTGGACAGTCACTTGTCTGAAATGGTATAGGTTCTCCTGCTTGAGCAGGGGGCTGGACTAGAAGACCTCCAAGGTCCCTTCCAGCTCTAGTCTCTAAATGCTGGGCACAGTTTCCGTCGTACATCTGTACTGGTCCAGAGAGAGAAAGAGAGTTGTGGAAATTGGGGTTTAAATGAATTTATTTATTGATTTGATCAATTGCTGTGGTTCTTTGTGGGGTTTGAAAATAAAAGATCCATCCATGACCAAACTGTATGAAAGAATAAAATCAAGAGCAGTAGAATCGCAAAAGCAAATAACATACATAATATTTCTAGGGCAGAATAGGTTTCTCAGAGTCCCTAAAGCAGTGTTCCCCAACCCTTCCGGATTGGCAGCCCCGTGGGAAAGGGAGGACCAAAGAAATATGTGTGTGCACGCGCATGCGCAAATGGGTGCACGCATGATGGCGGCGCCAGCATCCGCACGCATGCGCAAGTGGACCACGCGCACCCAGGGTGGGGCTGGCAGCAGCCCTGGTGCCTGTGCGCCCGCGCAGGTGGGACGCTAGCACCCGCAAATGGGAAGCTAGTGACCGCGTGACTCTGGTGGTGGTGCTAGTGTTGTGTCCTGAGCCTGCAAAGGCAGGCTCGGGATGTTGCAATGGTCCTGTGCAGTTGCAAGCTGCCCGGGACCAGACTGGCTGGCGCCGGCGTCGCACACATGCCAAGGCGCGGAGCGTGCCTATTTGTTGCCATTCTGCCAGGGGAACGTTGTTAAAAGGAGCAGAGAGGCCTGCGAGCCTCAGAGCTGTGACGGAGTGGAAAAGACTGCAATAAAAGACCTGTTGGAACCACGAGATGTTCTGTGCTCATTTGCCATTAAGCCGAGGACTCAACAGCTAGCACCTGCACCTCCACAAACAGGGCCGCTACACAAGTGGGAGTGCATGCACTTGCCAGCCATCCCCTCAGCCCGCTGACCAATAGGCCACAGCCCTGTACCAGGCCACAGCCCACAGATTGGAGACCCCTGCTCTAAAAGGTGGCTTTTCTTAACTGCGCCATTCGTGGGGTCTCACCAAGTTGATTGCCCAACAGTCCAGCAGCTGTTTTCTCTGCCCCAATCTCTGTGTCTCTTCTTTCTCCTTCCTCTGAAGCCTTTTTTTCACTGGAAGTTTTTAAAGAAGAGACCGGACAGCCATTTGTCTGAAATGGCATCAGGTCTCCTGCTTGAGCAGGGGGTTGGACTAGATGACCTCCGAAGTCCCTTCCAACTCTGTCGTTCTGTTAACTTTACAGCAACGGAAGTGCATCTTCTGTAATTTGTGCTGTGTTATTTTTTTGCATCTCTTTTACCAGCCTGCACTCAGCTGCCTTTTTTAGACTGTTTGGTTAGACTGAAGGCTAAAACATACGAAGAACGGTTGCAGGAATTGCATATGTCTAGTTTAACTAAAAGAAGGACTAGGAGTAACATGATAGCGGTGTTCCAATACCTAAGAGGCCAACACAAAGATGAAGGGGTCAAGCTATTCTCCAAAGCACCTGAAGGCAGGACAAGAAGCAACGGATGGAAACTAATCAAGGACAGAAGCAACCTAGAACTAAGGAGAAACTTCCTGACAGTCAGAACAATTAACCAGTGGAACAACCTGCCTCCAGAAGCTGTGAATGCTCCAACACTGGAGATTTTTAAGAAGAGACTGGATAGCCATTTGTCTGAAATGGTATAGGGTTTCCTGCCTGAGCAGGGGGCTGGACTAGAAGACCTCCAAGGTCCCTTCCGTTATTCTATTCTATCCAGTGGTTCTCAACCTTTATCTTCACCCCGGATCCTCTTTACCTTTTATGGCCATGGGCCCCCAAGATGTAACTCAAGATTTAAATCATAACATTTTTTTCAAGCTTTCGTGGACCCCCTATGACAGGGGTCTTCAAACCTGGCCCTTTTATGACTTGTGGACTTCAACTCCCAGAATTCCTCAGCCAGGCATGCGTTGAAGTCCATAAGTCCTCAAAGGGCCAAGTTTGAAGACCCCTGGTCTGGATCTGAGCCCGCAGTTTCATCAAAATGGCTGATCAAGGAATTCTGGGAGTTGAAGTCCACCAGTCATAAAAGAGCCAAGTTGGAAGACTCCTGGTTTGGATCCAAGCCCGCAGTTTCATCAAAATGGCCGACTGAGGAATTCTGGGAGTTGAAGTCCACCAGTCATAAAAGGGCCAAGTTGGAAGACCCCTGCCCTAGGATGATATGGCGCATCCCGCAGACCCCTATGGACCATAGGTCGAAAACCACTGCATTCAACCATTAGAAGCAACAGCTCAAAAAAAAAAAAAACCACCACATTTTAATCAACTCCTCCATCTCACCTTTTTTCTTGTTGTATTCATCTTCAGTTTCCCGGGAAGATTCCGAATGATAATCGAGAAGCTCCTGTTTGTACATCTCTGCAAAGTTCTCATCGTCCTTTCTCGTCTTCTTCTTCTCTTTCTTCTTGGACTTTTTACCTTTCTTCTTTTTCTTCTTTTTCTTTTTTCTCTTGTGGCCGTCATCCTCATCATTGCTGTCGCTGTATTCTTTCTTTCTTTTCTTCTTCTTCTTCTTCTTTTTCTTCTTCCTCTCCTCACTGCTGTCTTCGGATGAGTCTTCACTTCTCACCTCTGCCGAGTCCCTTTTTCTCAGATTCTTCTTTCTTTCACAGCCCTCATCTTCCTCCTCCTCCTCCTCCTCCTCTTCCTCCTCCTCCTCCTCCTCCTCTGAAGACCAACTCATTCTTGTCATCCACTACTCATCGACTCTCCCTCTTCCACGCCACTTCTTGCTTCTCCAAGTAATGTATTTGTATTTAATTTTATTTATATGCCGCCCAATCCCAAAGGACTCAGGAGGTTTCCCCCCCCCTTTTTAAGTTTGTTGGGTTTTGCTTCTTGATTGGATTCTCCCCCTCTAAATACCTTCCACTCCTCTACTATTTCTTGAACTTTCCTAATGGCCTCTAACTCTCCCTCCTGCCTCTGGTTTATGTGATAACTGCCTTTCTCCCATGCCTGTCAACTGTTGGCTTCTTAAAGCGTCCGTCTTCTTCTTTAACTTTACTCCTTCCTTCTTCCAGGGGTTCACATCTTCTGTTTCCTCTTTGACTTGTGTTGTTTTTCAGTTCCATTATTTATTCATTGGGAGTTTGCTGTCGAGTGTGCATGCAGGCACATACGATTATATAGATTCAACCAGGCAATGAGTCTATTCCCTCTCGTCAGACCTGCCTTTGGATGGAAGTCAGATAAGAACATATAATCTAGTGCACCGTATCCTTTGCACAGCAGGGAGAAAATAGTTGGCCGTTTGGGGTCAGAGTGTCCTCTGCTACTTTAGGAGGAAATGGACCTGCTGTTTCTTAAGTCAGGTGGCCATGTGCAGAAGACAAGTCTGACTGTTAGTTTTACAGCAGACTATATCATAGACAGAGATGCTTCAACACTGCAGGTTTTTAAGAAGAGATTGGATAACCATTTGTCTGAAATGATATAGGGCAGTGATGGCGAACCTTTTAGAGACTGAGTGCCCAAACTGCAACTCAAAACCCTCTTATGCATTGTCAGGTGCTGGGTGGGTGTGGCCCATTGAGTGGGTGTGGCCCATTGGGTGGGTATGGCTGCAGTGGTAACGGCAGACTGGGTGGGACTAAAAAGTTCAATCAATTAATTCCAACTTTGCAAGATCTTTTTTTTCCCGCAGGAAGTTGAAATTGATCGATTGATTGAACCATATTTTTTTTTTGCGCACAGCGGCGGAAGCCTAAAGCGACAAGGTTTTATAAAACCCAGCTGAAGGCTTAGGACAGGGGTGATGGCACGTGTGCCCATTGAGAGGGCTCTGAGTGCCGCCTCTGGCACTCGTGCCGTAGGTTCACCACCACTGATATAGGGTCTCCTGCCTGGGTTGGACTAGAAGACCTCTAAGGTCCCTTCCAGCTCAATTCTGATTGATTGATTGATTCTGTTGAAGGAAAAGTCTTCATCATGGTTCAGTCTAAGCTGGGAATAAACAACATGGCGACTGCTTTAGAAAGAAGGTTGCAGTTTATTGAAGAGGAGAGCCAGACAGAAAGATGGCTCAGGAAGAAAAGAGAGAGAGAGCACATGTAGGGAGTGGGTTTTTATACCCTCTGGAGCCTTTTGTTTGGAGTTGTTCCTGTGGCATGAACTTTGACCTGAGTCTGAGTGTGCCTTTTTGGTATCCTGATGGTGGTGGGTTAATCCTATTATGTCCCAAGGGTCATATCCTGCTTCCCTGGGGCTGTGGCTGATGACCCTTAGATTTTTGGTGTGTTGATTCAAGGGATCTTTCTTCCTAATCCCAGTTTCCTGATTCCAGTCTTTCTGACAAGATTATCACATCTGCATTTCTACAGACAGAGAGACTTGGGGGCAGGGTTGCTTTCTGCTTTTAAAATCCTTTAGGAAAATATATTCTGCCCTTTTAAATATTTCCAAAAATATTTCTTTCTCGGGGGGGGGGGGCTGACTTCCCACAATTGGTTGACTGAAATAGTATAGGGCAGTGGTTCTCAACCTGTGGGTCAGGACCCCATTTGGGGTCAAACGACCATTTCACGCGGGTCGCCAAACAACGCAGTCCGCCATTTTCCCCCCTCTTCTTTGGCCACGCCCCTGGCACCTGGTGATGTATAAGTGGTTGGGGGTCACCACAACATGGGGAACTGTATTATGGGGTCGCGGCATTAGAAAGGTTGAGAACCACTGGTATAGGGTTTCCTGCTTGAGCAGGAGGTTGGACTAGAAGACCTCCAAGGTCCTTTCCAGCTCTATTTTGATTCATTGATTGATTCATTGATTGATTCATTGATTGATTCATTGGGTGGGTGGGTGGTTGAAATAGTATAGGGTTTCCTGCCTGATCAGGGCGTTGGACTAGAACAGAGGTCCCCAATCCCCCAGTCTGTGGACCGGTACTGGGCCGCAGCATGCCAGCAACCGGGCCGCACAAACAAGCAAAGCCCCATCCATGGGATGAAGGCAGCACACAAAACCACACATTCTCCAGTCCGTGGAAAAACCTCTCTCCATGGAACTGGTCCCTGGTGCCCAAAAGGTCTGCTTTATAGGGCCTCAACATCTCTTTTGCATTGTCATGATCCAATCTGGACACAGGATCCCAAGAGCGGTCTCAGCAGCCCAGTATAAAATGATCCAAAATTATTATTATTATTAAGATTAGCCAAAATCAGTTAGGTAGAGAGATAGCGAGAAGATTTTTTTTAAAAATTGTTAATGTCACCTCTAGTTTGAAGCCAGTGCAGAAGTCTCCATGTTTCAGACCCAGAGCAAAAGAGGAAAGCCCGTAGAAACATTAGTAGAAACACCCAGATATTTTGGGTTCGTGCCACGATATTTTTTTTTAGAAGTGGGATTGGGGTTCTATACTGAATTACAGGGATTTTTTGACTTACGGCCAGTTATTTAGTGACCGTTCAAAGTTGTAACAGCACTGAAGGAAATGACATGTCCATTTTTTTCACACGTACGACTGGTGCAGCGTCCCACATGAGCAAAATTCGGACGCTTGGCCACTGACTCAGACTTATGACGGTCGCAGCGTCTCAGGATCACGTGATCCCCTTTTGCGACCTTCTGACCAGCAAAGTCAACGGGGGGAAGCCAGATCCACTTAACAACCGTGTTGCTAACATAACAACTGCAGTGATTAAGAACGGTGGCAAGGAAGGTCATAAAATGGGGCAAAACTCACTTAACAGATGTCTTGCTTAGCGACGGAAATTTTGGGCTGACTTGTTTGTCGTGAGTCGAGGACTACATGTATGGCAGAGGAAATGGCAAAAGAAGAAAATAATCGTGTTATTTTGGCCAGCGTAATCAGAGGATTTTCCGAGCCAACTGAGGGAGGGGGGAACGGGATTCTCCCCAGTCAAGCAGATCGACAACTTCTCTGACCATTTTCTCAACGGTCATTTCAGTGGTCAGTGGTCACTTTTTCTCACCTCTCCCCACTTTCTAATGGTCTGGAAGAATTAATTATAATCAGTAGGATGAGCAAGAACCAGAACACCTGAAGTGGTAAAAGAGGAAGGGGAGGAGGAGGAGGGGGGGGGAGGGGGAGGAGGAGGAGGAGGAGATAGAGGAGGAAGAAGAGGAGGAGGACGGGGAGGAGGAGGAGGAGGGGGAGGAAGAAGGAAGAGGAGGAGGAAAAAGAGGAGGAGGAGGACAAGGAGGAGGAGGAGGAAGAGAAAGAGGAAGAAGGAGGAGGAGGAAGAGGAGGAGGAGGGGGAGGAGGAGGAAGAGGAAGAAGGAGGAGGAGGAGGAAGAGGAGGAGGTAGGAGAGGAGCAGGAGCCGCGGACGAGGAGGAGGAGGAGGACGGAGAAGGAGGAGGAGGAGAGAAGAAGAGAGAAGAGAAGAAGAAGAAGAAGAAGAAAAAGAAGAAGAGAAGAAGAAGAAGAAGAAGAAGAAGAAGAAGAAGAAGAAGAAGAAGAAGAAGAAGAAGAAGAAGAAGAAGAAGAAGAAGAAGAAGAAGACGAAGAAAAGGACTGGGGGATCTTTAGTGGTCTCTGAGCTTGATTATTTTCTTGCAGACATTTCATTACCCAACTAGGTAACATCGTCAGTACTAGAAGGGAAAGAGGTGTGCAGGGAAAAGGAGGAGGAGGAGGAGGAGAAAGAGGAAGGAGGAGGAGGAGGAGGAGGAGGAGAACTGTGGGGTCCTTGGTGCTCTCTGAGCTTTCTTGTTTCCTTGCAGACATTTCATGACCCAACTAGGTAGCATCATCAGTCTTTGAAGGGAGCAGGGTTTCTGGGGAGGAGGAGGAGGAGGAGGAGGAGGAGGAGGAGGAGGAGGAGGAGGAGGAGGAGGAGGAGGAGGAGGAGGAGAATATTCATTTAAGTCAGCTCAAAGGCAAATCTTATTTTTCCTTTCCATCTGAGCATCACAGTGAAGATCTTGAGGGGTCCACTTCCTTCATAACCAAATTATCTCATTATCTGCCCCTTTCTTCCATTGTGACTCTAGGGAACTATAGGTTGCGGTGGGAATGCCAATTCTTGCTAGGTTCCATGGTAAAATATGTGCTTTTGATTTTAACATCAATATCTGTTCATCTGTTATTGACTAAAGACTTGACAAGCCAATAAACCGATGAAAAACAGACATGCATAGTCAAGCTTTTAACGTCTGCAACGAGGAACAGATCCTCAAAATCAAAGATCACAGTTCTTTGTCACAGTCATTGTCCCCATACCTGCCTTAATTAAATTTTATTATTTATTATTTTAAATTAATTAAACTAAAGGTAACACCCTAAGGAATACTCCAGGATGGCGTTCTTTCTTTGAATAACAGATGAGGAAAGCAGCGGGAAGAGAAATTGGTGATGCATAAAGAATGACTGGGGAAGACACTAAGTTATTGGCAATAAATAAATAAATACGGGAAGGGAAGTATTTACAATCCTGTTTTGTTCTGAAATTGTTTTCTTAATGACTTTCAAGGCAAAGACTGCTCTCAGGTTTTACCCCAAAATGGAGATTAAAAACTATCTGAAAGCAAAAACAGGACACATGAACTACGTATGAGTGGTAGGGAAGGTTTTCAATGCCCTTGGTGAAGTACCCAGGACAGGAGTAGGCCACCTTGGCTCTTTTATGACTCGTGGACTTCAACTCCCAGAATTCCTGAGCCAGTCATGCTGAGG